GGGAAAGCAGAGGTGCGGACTGACAGCGCCAGTGTGGAGACCGGGTCGGGGGGCGGGGGGCTGTGAGGACCGGTCCCTGCCGCTCTCTCTGTCCAAGGCCTGGGGACCCTGGGAAGTGGGGGTCTCCGGGCAGACCGCACTTTGAAGCCGGCCCCCCGCACAGCCGGGGCGCTTCCCCTCGTGGACCGTGGGGAGAGAAGGGCGCCCTCCCTGCCCACAGGAGAGGGCGGGGGGCAGGTTCCCCCTGCCTGGGGCCCAGAAAAGCCCAGTCCGGTGGGGGGGCCCACCCTCCCCATTCTCGTACTCTGGGCCCCTGGTGGCCTTTCCCCACGGCTGTGCCGGGAACAGGCCCCACGGGGTCCCCCCACGAACAAGGCCCTCGGCCCCAGGGCAGCCCCGAGGCCCCGCGCTGCCTGCACCCCACGCTCTCCACCAGGAGCGCCCCGGCCCCAGCCTCCCGGACGAGCGGTCAGAAGCACGTCACTCTGCCACACACCAGTGTCGAGCACCCTCAGGCACACCGCAGGACGTTGTAGGAGAGATGTTCACACTCACACACGCACTTCTCCACCCCCGTCACCGCCGCACCAGCCACGCTTGAGCAGGCCTTCCCCCTGCCGGACGATGCGTGTTTGCTGGGTGCTGGTTCCACCCCGCCGGGCAGGGGTTTAAACCGACTCAGACCCCCACCCCACCCCCAGGGCCCAGTGGGGGGACGGCAGAGCCCTCAGTCCCCGCAGCCCCGAGTACTCGCGGAGGGGACGGCACAGGGTGCCGCCCCGTGTCCCTAAGCCAGCGCGCACTGTGCGGGCCGGCAGGGAGGCGGGGCCCGGGGCCCCGAAGCTCCAGTGGGGGGGGGCGGCTCGGAGGAGCCGGGGGTGCAGAGCCCGGGCTGCAGCTGCGAGCGGAACCCTCTGCACGAGGGGGCGCCTCCGGCACGAGGGGCAGCAGGGCGAAGGCCCTGAGGCGGAAGGCCGGGCTCGTCCTGGGCCAGGGCCGGACTCGGCCTGGAGTCCCGGTCACACTGCTCCAAGGACTGACACGGGGACTGTCCCCTTCGTGGCCAGGGCCCACCTGTTCGCCCTGCTCCTCCCTCGCTGCCCTGGACCCCAGAGGAGACTGGCCGCGGCCCCAGCACCTCACTCCTTGCCTGGCCCTCAGCCAGCAGACCGAAGTCCCGTTACTCTCTGCCGTCGGCTCAGGGCGCTCCGCGAAGGGGGCGCCAGCCTCCAGCCCTCACCCGTTCTCGTCAACAGAGCCCGGGACCTGCGGCCCCTTCCTCTTCCCCCGAAACCGTGGTGGGTCTCCACGCTCAGGGGGAAGCAGGACACCCAGGACCGGCCCCTGGTGGGGCTGGCCGCCGGGCAGGGGCCGTGAGCAGCTGGCCCCACCCTCTGCAGGCCGCCCCCAGCACACTGCGGGAGGGGCTGAGGCGGCCGAGGGGGCCTGAGGGCAAGGGCGGATCCAGAGCTTGGCCATGGGGGTGCTGTGACCCCCAGTGCAGCTCCTGGAGGCCCGGAGAGGGAGTGGGGGAGGGGGCTGGGGGGCCCGGCAGAGAGGCACCGCACACCCTGCTGAGAAGTTCTGAGTTCCCAGAAGGGACGCCAGGTCAGGGCCCCGTCTCCTGCGCCCCCCAAGACCAGCGCCTGGAGCGGGCGCCACTCCCCTGAGCTGGGGGGGGGGGGTGAGGACAGACGGCCTGCACCGGTGGTCTCGGTGCCCCTGCCCAGCTGGTTGCCCCGCGCAGGCTCCCCCCTCTGCCTGCCTGGCCCGGTGCCCACCAGCCCTGCATTTTCAGACAGGCCTGTGGACCGGGCGCCGCCCCCACCCCGAGCTCCGACTTCTCAGCTCTGCCACGGGGCGGGCTCCCTCCCCCCCGGGCCCCCCAGCTGGCTCCGCTCCAGGCAGAAGCGCTGTTCTACCAGGAACCTGCCGCCTGTCCCGGCCAGCACAGGACACGCTGGCCCGGCCACAGGCAGAGCCCCCACCCCCTGCCCGTGCCCCGGAGTCACCCGCCACCCCTTCCCGGAGCAGCCTAAGCCCCAGGTCCCAGGCCAGCTCCACACGGGGCCCCTTGCCCTCACCCCGCCGAACAAGCCCCTGACCAGGCACTGCTTTGGGGGCTGCCATGGGGCCTCCCTACCTACCGCCTGGCTCAGGGAGGCCTCCGCGTTTCCACATCCCGGGCAGGAGTCCACCGCCCCCCTGCTCCCATGCCCACCTCCCCACCCCACCCCACCCCACTGCAACCACCCACCGCCTCCAGGGTCAGGGTCCTGCTCCCTGGGTTCCTTCGAGTGATCAGTGAGAGCTGCACCCTGAGGTCCCGCCCAGGCCTTCCCCAGTGCCCCTGCCCAGGCTGCTCTGCTGGGGGGCGGGGGGACGGCCACGGCGGAGCGGAGGGTGGCAGCCACCTCAGCCAGAAGTCCGCACAGCACGGCACCTTCCTGCCCTCATCCTCGAGCCAGAGCTGGTCAGAAGACACAGAAGTCACGTGGGCACAAGCCCGGCCACTCCGGGGAAGGGAATGGGTTTGGCCGCCCTGAAAGTGCCCTTTGGGGTATCGATTTTAAGCTCTTTATTAAGAAACAAAAGACTCGGAACCGTTGACCCGCCCCCCTTCCCTGCCCAAGAGGCTCAGACAGAGACACCTGCTTCAGGAAGGGGCCTGGGCATAACCCCCCTCCCCCGCCCCGCACCTGCACCCCGGCTCGGCCAGGGGCTCCAGGCCTGTCGGCGAGGTGTCCCCGGTGCGTCCCACTGGCTCCGAGGTGCCTGGTGGGAAACTTCCTGCCACGAGCTCGGCTTGCCCTCAGCCACTTGCAAACCACCCTCCTCAGCTCGGAAATCCAACACCCTGACCCCCCCCCTTTCTCCTTTCTCCAAAAATGTCCAGCGTGTCCGATGTGGCTGCACCGCCTCTGGCGTTTTCGTGCCCGTGTGAACTCCCCGTGCGTCTGCACGGAAGCCTGGTTTCCCCGTTACTCACTCTCTCTGAGTCTGAGTACCGGCCGGCTCGATTTAGAACGTGAGAGGGAAAGGGTTCCTAGTTCAGCCTCACACAGGGCTGGCGGTGACAAGGGGCGCACGTCCCCTCTGGGAGCGCCCTCGTCCCCACCCCCAGCCCATCGCAGAGTCCTGGGGCCGGAGAACACGGGAGCCCCTGGGGCTCCGGGTCGTGGTTGCCGGGGACCAGAGAGCTGATATTTTGACCGGCCAGAGCTTCCTGTCTGCACCTCCCACCCCGACTTTTCTCTGAAACCCACCATCCGTCGTTCCCCTCAGCCGTGCCCCCACCTTTACACTAGGAGGCCCAGCGAGCAGTCACTCCGCTCAGTCTTTGGTTCTGATCCAAGTTCACGCTTGGAGGTGTAACTCACTCCGGGACCCCTACAATCCTGCTGCTAACCTGATAGAGCGGACGAGCCGATGGCGACACCTGCTGGCCGCCCTGGGGGTCGGCGGCTCCAGCGAGCACACGGAGGTGTCCACCTCCCGAGAACAAGGCTCTGGGCACCCGGGTTCTGGCCTCCCCTGGACGGCAGGCCAGGCTGGTAGGACGACCAGCTAGTGAAGGAAGGCGCCCAGGGCAGGCCCCACCCTCCCAGCCGTGACCCTGAGAAAGGCCACACGGCCGACCTGTGGGTTTCAGACCATTAGGTGAGAACTGGCCAGAAGCTTGTGAGGCCCCAGGGTTCCCATGTGGGGCTACACCCTGCTCCTGCCGCCCACCCCAAGGGTCTGCCCCAGGCTCCCAAGCAAAGCAGCAGGCAGCCTGAGTCTAGGAAATGGGGTCCACGGGCTGGGGCGTGGTTCTCAAGAGGCAAGGGGCAAAAGAAACTGCGAGACCACTCAGGTCGTGCCCCTACCCTCTAAGCAGGGCCGGCCTGGCCCCCAGGGCCGCCACCAGCTCTGAGCCAACCCCCACAGCCAGGCCACTGCCTGGTGCTGTGTCATGGGGCTGGGACTTTGAGATTGGAGACTAGAGCAGAGGTGAGGCCAGGAGTGCTGCTGGTCCTGCCCCACGCCCTCCTGGCCCAGGGCAGTGGGGCCTGGTGCCTCTCCACCCTCCCCAACCTGGGGCTCAGCCCGCCCACTCTTTCTCCCGCAGGCCCTCGGTGCCAACAGAGCAGGGTGTTTCTCTGCTAGCAGGCTGGCCCAGGGCCCCTGCCGCCCTCCCTCACATACTACCCCTTTTCTCGCACTTTCCTTCCCCCAGGCCCCCCCAGCCAGCTGTGGCCTGAGGATGGGCACTGGGCTCTCCCAGCTCTGGTGTGCGGCCTTGACAAGTCCCCAGGCCTCCCTGGGTCCCTCCTTGCTGAGCAAGGCGGCTGGGAGGGGTCAGGGTGTGAGCTTGTGGCGCCTGGCGCGGGGCAGCCAGGTGGATGAGTGGAGGAGCCTGTCCTGTCCTCCTCACCGGGGTTCACAGCTGCCGCGCCCCTCCCCCCACCTCGGGCCCCCAGAGCACCTCTGGGGGCCTCGGTGGGGTCCCTGAGGATCACAACCTAAGGTGGCGTCCGAGCTGCCGGGACGGGGGCGGGGGCGGAGCAACGCAGGGAGGGGAAGCCTGCACCACCCGAGCCCCCCGGCTTAGATGCCGTCCCACGTCCCGAGGGTCAGCACCCGCCTCTGACTTAAAGGCCCGCTCGCCGTCCCCGGGGCTCGTCCCACGCCCCGCCCCCCCGAGGCAGCGGGATCAGCTTTCAGACCCAGACCCCGCACCGCGCTCAACGCCCTCTGGTCCCCGCCCCGTCCCCCCGCCCTCCGCGCTTGCGCACTCGGCTCCGGCACCAACCCGCCCTTTGGCTTCTGGGCCTCCACTAGGCGGGGCCCACAGTCTGTCACGCGCGGCACCGCCCCTCCTATCGCCCAATCCGAGCCCACGGTCGCGCCGGCGCCCTCACGGCCCCGCCCCCCGCATCGCCCAATCCGAGCCCGCTCGCCCGGCGCGGCCCCGTCGGCAGTGACGCACAAGGCGTGCGCCGCCGTCGGGCCGCGGCCTTCAGCGGGCACCGCCCGCGTGGGCGGGGCTAGCCGGGCACCCGCGGCCATGGCCCCCGCGGCCGCCAGCGTCCCCGAGGTGGTTCGCGCGGCCCAGAAGGACGACTACTACCGCGGCGGGCTGCGGAGCGCGGCGGGCAGCGTCCTGCACAGCCTGGCGGGTGAGGCCCCGCGGGGTGGGGGGGCGGCCCTGGGGCTGGGGGCCACCCGGGCCCGTCCGCGGGCGCCGGAGCAAGGTCTGGCCCGGGGGTGGTGCAGGGCGCCTCGCTGCGAGGCGGACGGACGAGCCCCCAGACCCGCCCCGCGCAGCTGCCACGGGCAGCTCGGCTCGGGCTCACGCCCGCACGGAGGCTGGCGCCGAAAGAAGCAGCGAGTGCCAGCGGCTCCCCGACGGCCCGGAGCGGGGTGGGGCGAGGGCGAGGGCGAGGGCGGGGAAGCCTCGCGGGCGCAGCCGAAGCTGCCCGGCTCTGGGGCACGTTGGGAATAAGCGGTGTGTTTGCTTACGCTGCAAACACTTCGGCTTGGTGACAGACGCCCCGTCGGTGCTTTGCAGACATTTAACGCATTTAGTCCTCAAAGCATCACCGCACGGTAGGACTTGCCGTGCCCAGCCCCACAGACTGGGACACTGGGGTTCCTGAGAGACCCAGGGACTTGCCTGAGGTCGCAGCCAGCAGGTGGGAGCTGGGACGGGATGCCGGACAGGGGTCTCGCTTGTGCTCTTGGTCGCTACACCACACTGCCCGTCCTCGTGGCCCCTCGGGGCACCAAACCCTTGCCCAGGTGAGTTCTGAAGGGGGAGACGGACTGCAGGTGGGCAGGTACCCAGGAGACTCAGTGGCCCAGGCGAGACACACCGGAGGCTGGGGGCTGGAGGTGCGTTCGGGGCCCTTTCGGCCTCGAGGGCCGGTGTTTGGGCCCGGCCTCGGCAGCCGGCGGACCTGCCCTCACCCCACCCCACAGTGACAGTGCTGTTCCCGCCCCAGGTGCGAAGAAGTGGCTGGAGTGGAGGAAGGAGCTGGAGCTGCTGTCGGACGCAGCCTACTTCGGCCTCACTACGCTGTCAGGTAGCACCCCGGGGGGCCCTGGGGCCCAGGGACCCACAGTCCCTGAGCCAAGGCCAGAGGACAGCAGGGGTGGGGGGGCCCACAGCAGAATGGGAAGCTCCTGGAGGCACCCCCTAGCGCTGCTGGAGCGGGCTGGGACGCAGCCTCGGGGAAGGACAGGACCCTGGGACCCGCCCCCAGAGGAGGGCCTGGCGTGTCTGTGCCCTCCTTTCGTCCTTTTTGTGTCCCCGGGGACTTCTGTCCCGGGCCGTGCCCATGGTGTCGTTGAGACCAACCCTCCGTGGCTGAACTGCGCGGTCCAGGAGGGCCCTGGGCAGGAGCCCTGCCACAGGCACGAGGGCCCTGGCGGGGCGTCGCCCTTCGCAGGAGAGGCAGGGACGCGGGAGAGGGCAGCCCCCGCCTCAGCCCTCTGCTGGGTGTCCCCCGCCCCCAGGCTACCAGACCCTCGGCGAGGAGTACGTCGGGATCGTGCAGGTGGACCCGTCCCAGAGGCAGGTGCCCTCGAGGCTGCGCTGCGGAGTGCTGGTCGCGCTGCACACCGTCCTGCCCTACCTGCTGGACAAGGCCCTGCTGCACCTGGAGCACGAGCTGCAGACCGACAGCGGCGGCCGGTCCTCGCCGGGCAGCCCCGCACCCGGCTCTCGGGGCCGCTCGGGGGCCAGGCGCTGGGTGCGCCGGCACGTGGCCGCCCTGACGGAGCAGCAGCGGAAGGCACTGCTGCGGGCCGTGCTGGTGCTCCGGCCGGCCCTGGGCTGCCTGCAGCGGCTGCACGTCGCCTGGTTCTACCTGCACGGCGCCTTCTACCACCTGGCCAAGAGGCTCACTGGGATCACCTACGTAAGTGTGCCGCCGCCCGCACGCGCTCCCCCCTGGGCTGTCTGTGTACAGGTGGCCCTTCTGGGCCCTCGTGGGCCGGCACGGCCACAGGCCCAGGGCCAGGATCCTGGACTGGGGTTTGCTGGTTCACATTCTGCTCAAAAAAGAAAAAGAAGTTCATTGTTCACACACCCTAAGGGTAGGGTGAGGCCGCCACCCTGGGTGCCAGGCCCTGCGCCCTGCCGTCCGCTCTGGGCACAGGTCGCCTTTCCAGATAGCTCTGCTGGAGAGTTGGGTGCAAGGGTGCCTTCCTGACAGCGGCCCCACGGTGACCGCCTGAGCCCCACTGCTGCCAGCGCCCTGCTGGTCTCCCCTGGTCCCTGCGCGTCCACTCCGCTGGCCACCACTCACCCACTCTGTCTCGGGTCCCTTGCTCCCGCTCACCCGCCCTCCCGGGTCGCTCTCAGCATCACGCTCCCCGGAGAGAGCCTGCCCTGGCCCGCCCTTCGCCACCCTCAGCAGCATTGTCCTGGGCCCCCGGGCCTCCCCCGGTCAGTCTGGCCTCTGTCCCTCACGTGCACGTCGCCCTTCAGTGCGTGTGGCTGAGCTGCTGTGACAAAGGAGCCTGAAGCCCAAGGCCCCACCCAGAGGGCTTCTCCCTCCCGGCACGTGTGGCTGCCCGCACCCCCAGCCCAGGGAGACAGGACGGGGACACGGCCAGGAGCTGCACGGTCGCGCGCTGCAGGGGAGGCTGGGGCCCCAGTGGCCTGGCGTCGTGTCACCTGCGAGCAGGGAGCTTCTGCAGCAGGCAGCTGGTTGGCAGCATCTGCCACCCGCGCTCGTCCTCCTGCCCTGCCGGGTGCCCTCTCTCCAGCTGCTCTGCCGGTTCCTCTTCTCTCCGAGAAGGGGTCTCGGGATGTCCCCCCACCCTCCAGCCCTCACCTGCTTCCAGAGTGGCCCGCACACTTCCAGCTCGAGCACAGCGCGGCTCAGCGCTTCGCTCCTGTTGAGAGGGAGGCCCCTCACCCGCCCGCTCGCCTGGTGCTCCTGTCCCTCGCTCGGCCGAGGGCCCTGTGGCCGCACTCTGTCCCGTCTGCACCCACAGGGCGGGCTGGGCCTCGTCCGACGGGCTCCAGTGCGGGGGTGGGGGGGGGGCGGCCAGACCTCCAGGCCGTGGCACTCCGTGCCGGCTGACTGCTGACCGTCCCCGTGGTCCTTGACAGCTCCGCACCCACCACTCGTCTGCGGGGGACCCAAGGGCTCTCGCCAGCTACAGGCTGCTGGGCCTCGTCTCCTTGCTGCACCTGGCGCTGTCCGTGGGCCTGCAGCTCTACGGCCTCCGGCAGAGGCAGCGCGCCCGGCGGGAGTGGAAGCTGCACCGAGTCCTGTCCCACCGCAGGTGCGCGGGCGGGCCCCTGGGCCAGGGCTCTGGACTCGGGTGTGCCGCTGGCGGGAGGGCCGAGCACCCCTGCTCTCGGCGAGGACTTGGAGGCTCACCCTCCCCCCCACCCCGCAGGAGCCACACGGAGGAGAGAGCGGGCCCCAGAAGCAGCCTGTGCACCCTGTGCCTGGAGGAGCGCAGGCACCCCACGGCCACGCCCTGCGGCCACCTCTTCTGCTGGGAGTGCATCACCCAGTGGTGCGACACCAAGGTCAGCAGCCGGGGGCCTGGGGCCCGGCTCCCGGGCAGGCGTGCAGGTGGCCCTGTGGCTTGCGGTCGCAGCCTGCCCCTGAACGCTCTTGGGCGGTGGGGGAGGAGGGGAGGACAGGCGTCTTTAAAGGCCCCCAGATAATCCGGGGACGGGGTCCACTCGGGAGTCCAGGTGCCACGGTTGCCGTGTGGGTGCTCAGCCGAAAGTGAACTGGAGCCACCCGAGCATCTGAGCGTCCGTTCTGGGCGTGCCTGGCCTGCCCGCACCACCCAGACCCTGCCCTGGCCCTCTGGACCGCAGAGCACAGGCCACCCCGTCTCTGTGCCAACTCCAGGGAGGGGTCCGGCCCCTGGGCCCTATCCCCCTCAGCCGGCAGGCTCGGCCAGCACCCAGCATTCTGGGGTGGAGGGTGGAGGGGGCGGGGGAGGCCACCCAGGCAGGGCAGGGGATGGCGGGGACACGGAGCTCGCCTGTGTGCCCAGGCACGGGCCGCCCCAGGCCCCCGTCCCTGGCCTGCGGCCCCCAGTGGGTGCTTGGCAGTCACGCGGCAGACCGGCCAGGGCTGGAGGGAGCCTGGCCTGGCTCCGGGTGGTGGTCCTGAGGAGGGGGACCACCGGGCCTGGGGCAGTGGGGCAGGGCAGGCCTGTTCACCCCAGGACCTCCCGAGGGGCGCAGCCAGCCAGTTGCCCACCAGCTATGAGGCCCTGCGGGCGTCTCAGAGCAGCAGGCAGTGGCGGCCGAGAGCCCTGCCCCACCCCCAGCCCCTGCATGGGCTGGGGTGGTCTTCTCAGCCGGGCCACTGTGCCCTGCTCTTCCCAACTGCCCACCCGGGGCTCAGGACTCCCCCTCCCCCCCGGTCTACAGCCTCCTCTGCACTGGACAGAGGACCCCCGTGTCACTGGAGATGCCGGGCAGGGGGCGCAGCCTGTGTGACCTCTCCTCCCCCTGCAGACCGAGTGTCCCCTGTGCAGGGACAAGTGCCTGCCCCAGAAGCTCGTCTACCTGCGGCACTTCCGATGACCCGAGGGCAGGGCCACCCAGGAGCCGCCTGACCCCAGGGGAACGCGTAGTTTCTTCTTAGGATGAATTCCCACAGAAAACGTCAAGTTCTCTAGTTTTACTCTTGTCACGGGAGGCACTGGGCCAGCAGTCCCGGAGGCGGGCAGGGGCACTCCAGCCACTCCTGGGGCGAGGAAGGGCGCCACCTGGCGGGCCGCATGCACCTGGCCCGGCCGAGCAGGCGTGGACGAATGGAGGACAGCACTGTTTTCGGGCTGTGGCCGGCCCACCAGCCCGCCCCTGCGCACCACGCCGGGCACCAGACCGGGCCAGCACATCCACTCACGGGACCGGGAGAAAGGCCCTGTCGGCTCAGAAAGTGCTCAGCACGACCTCTTAATAACGCACATGTGCGGTCAGCTCCCCGCCTGGACGCGGGGTCTGGTCCTGGGCCTTGCAGGCGCCCGGGGCGCCCCCCACCCAGGGCTCTCACCGGGGCCGAGCCCGCGGGGGCGGGGGGGGAGTCGGAGCTCTGCTGTGCCCACATCTCAGCCGCAACCCGCCTCGGAGGCCGGCAGCTAGGAAGGTTCACCTCAGTGTCCACCCTCCTTCCTGCCACTTGTGTTTTCAGGTTTCAGAAACTAACGTGTGCCAGAGACAGCACCTTGCTGCGGGCATCCTTAGGAGACAGGTCCCACGGCAGTGTTGGTGCGCCAGTGTCACAAGGGCGAGATGCAAATCAGACGTCTCAAAGGCTGGTGACAGGCCTTGGGGCCTCCGGGGCACCCCTGTGGGAGCGTGAGGCATGGCTGTGGCGGAGGCCAGCACGGGTGCCCCGCACACGGCGGCTCAGCTGTCATCCGTCCTCAGAGAGCGCCGTGGGGGCAGAGGCCAGCGGCAGGCAGGCCCCGGGACCATGGGCAGGCTGGGCTGCAGGCCTGCAGGTGGGCAGGGCCTGGAGCCAGCCACCCCCGGCCCCAGAGGCCCCAGCAGGCACATGGCTTCCCACTGAGTCTGCTGGGAAGGTGGTGGGGAGGGCGTCCACAGCACGAGGCAGTGACACCGTCCCCGGGAGAGGGGTCTGCACACGGCCTCTGCAGGGAGGAGCCGACACCTGAGGGGCAGAACCCAGAGACGGCGGGGAGCCCCAGCCCCAGCCCGCAGACCGGGAGAAAGGGGTTCCCTGCAAGGTGCGGTGCCCATAAAGACCACGGGAGAAAGGGGACACTGTCTTTAATCGTTTGAATTAAAAAGTCAGTAAAAGGTTTATGACTGTTTGTTTTTATCACATCGAAAACGTCGCCGTGGAGGGCAGCGGCCCCCGGGGCAGGGCTGTGCACCCCCAGTGCGCCCCCCCTTGGGGGGGGCTGCCGTGTGAACACGCAGCCACGGACCAAGTCGGGTCTCTCCGCACAAAAGACACGTCAGAGTGACCCCCAACAGTGAAAATATAATGTGTATTTGGGCCCCCAGGCCCCTGAGTGGCCGCGGAGTCGCGCAGTTTCCTGTCAGAGGAGAGGCGGCCGCCGCCCCTCCTCGAGGCAAGGGTGGGGAGCGTGGCGAGGACCCAGCGTGCCGGGACAGCCGCGAGCTCCTTCCAGGGCAGGGCTCCGGCAGCCGCGGCCTCCGGCAGGGCACCCGGACGGGACGGCGGCGTCCTCGGCAAGGTCCTTGCGGCCCGCGGCCCCCGCCCCACCTCGGCCGTCGCCCAGCCTACGCCCTGCCGGTTCTGTCCGTGTGAACACCTGCACCTCTGAAAAATAAATCAATGCAATGCCGCTTAAATGCCAGTGTCTTCGAGAACCTGGTGTTTCCGTTACAATGATTGAAGCTCCTTTTAGAGAAAGTCCGACTCCCGAGTCACCAGCGGCTGCAGGCAGAGAGAGGGGCGGCTGCGCGGCTCACGCCCACTCGGGCTGCGGGCGGCCCTCTAGCTGGAGAAGGCCTTGCCCACGTCCTCCTTCCCCTTGTACGTCCTCTTGCCGTGCGTGAACGGGATGTACCGGTACTTGATCATGTGCTGGGGACGGACAGACAGACAGACGCGCGTCAGGCGGCGGCCCCAGCGCTCCGGCAGCAGCTCACAGTCCGGGGGGGCCGGGGGCCCCAGGGCGGAGGCGCCCCGGGGAGGGTGTGCTCGGGCCTGCCCTGCCTCCCACTGGCCCACAGGACACTGCTCAGGAGGAGGGCATGGCCGGGGCCCCTCCCGCCCAGCCCCGGAGCTGTCTGCCCAGGGCCGGCCCTCCATGCACCGCCGCCCCCAGGCTGTGGCACAGGGCTGTGCTGGGGGAGGGGCGGGCGCCGCGCCGCGCCCCGTCCCAGGCCTGCGGGGAAGCAGCCCGCGGGCGGCTCCGCGTGCAGACGAGGCAGGCCCCGGTCACACCATCCCCCCCCGCACTGCCCCACGCCGCCAGGCCGGGCGCAGTGCCCCCTGGGGCCTACCTTGATCTGCCTCTTCATGGTGATGCAGAAGAGCATGATGAAGTACATGACCAGGATGGGCCAGAACACCGGCACATTGAACGCCTCGAAGAAGGTGCAGACCATGGCCACCAGGATGCCCTTGGTGGCCGCGTGCCTGGGGGGAGGGGGCGGTGAGTGCGCGGCTCCTGAGCGGCGAGGCTCCGCAGGGGCGAGGCTCCGCAGGGGCGAGGCTCCGCGAGCATGTCCCGGGCCACGCCCCACGTGGAACCACAGTGCGGCTCTGGGCGTCCTTCCCGACTCTCACCCGGTCCGGGAGCGGCGAGGGTGCTGGCGCTGCCCCGCTCGGGGGCGGCTGGGGGCCAGGCGGCCCCCACTGAAACTGCCCCTCTCATCACAGCAAAGGCCAGCCCCTCGGGGGGCTCCCGGGCCCCCAGCCTCGCCTGATCCCACTGCCTGTCCCCAGCGTTTCAGGCTCAACCCCCAGACCGGCCGGGCGCCGGCCCGCCTCGCCCACGCCCAGCGCCCAGCACGAAGACGAGGCGGCTCACCCCTTCAGTCTCCTGGCCTGACGAACACCGGACCAGCGAGGTCCCAGACCCCCCACGCCCCGGGACGGCCCATCTCTGTCTGGCCGCCACCACCTCTGGGGAGACTGAGACCCGCCCGCCCTCCGTGCAGAGCGCACCTCCCACGGCGCAGCAGCGGTCCCCACGGCATGTTGGTTGTGCCGGGGGGGGGGGGGCCTCGCTGCCGGCTCCACAGCTCCTCCGGGGGCTGCCCCCACCCCCCACCCCCCACCCCCCACCCCCCAGCGAGCGCAGCGCCAGTGCTCTGGACAAACGGGTGTCCAGGACAAAGACAGCTTGAGAAACCGCGGCCCACCGGCCCACCGGAACGGGAACGGCCTGCCCTCCCTCCCGTCACCGCGCTGGGGCGGCAGCGCCGTCAGGAACCACTCACCAGAACTTAAACTCCGGGAGCCGCCGGATGAACGGCCGGAACTCCTCGTTCTGTCTCGTGGGCAGCGAGGGGCCGTCGTCTGCGAGGCAGAGGTCATCCGGTCAGGGGGGGCGCCTCCCCCCGCCCCGGGCGGCCCGGCCCCAGGCCCGGCGCTCCCGCCCAGCCGGGCCACTGACCCCGGGGCGAGAGGGGCCCAGAGATCTCGCCGCTTCAAGAGATTCGCGTGAGGTTTTCTTGCAGGAGGAACTGCGCCCACCTCACAACAACTGCCTAAAAAGTCACCTGCACGTGGGTTCACCCGGGGACACGCGGACGCGCCCGTAAAGGGGCGCAGAGAAAACTGAGGGGGCGCCCACCCGAGAGGAGCGCCTGCCGGCCACCAGTCTGCGCCCCCCGGAGCGCTGCCCTCGGCGAGCGGAGAGCCAACCTGCCCCCCCCGACCTCAGCCCACCCCAGAGCGGCGCCTCCCTCCCGCCAGGGAGAGGGCTGAGGCCCCAGGTGAGGGCCCCGCGTCACTCCCTACACCCCCTCCAGCCACAACTTGGCAGAGGAAGCGTCTGCGCTGCACGCCCTGCAGGGAAGCTGCAGGCCACCGCCCGCTGCCGGGACAGTGCTGCCCCCACCCCCCCACCCCCCCACCCCCGCCAGGGAGCAGCACTCCGGGGCAGGAGGCGGCGGTGGGTTTTTGTGGTGTGGCTGCACCGGTGCTGGCACCCCTCCCGCACCGCCCCAGCGGGCCCCGCCTGGCCTTGGCGTGAGCTGCGGGTCGAGAACTCCCCCGCCCACGGCCCTGGGAAGCCAGGGCCCCTCCACGAGGCCGGCCGTTGGTGCTCCCGGTGGCCCCGGGAGTCGCACCCCAGGTCCTCTCAAGAGGGGACCTGGCCGCCGAGGGTGGCCACGGCGCCCAGACGTGCAAGTGGTTTGGGAAGCAGCACGGGGTGGGTGTCCAGGGCCCCGCCCCCGGCCCTCTGCACGCGACCCTGGCGGGGGACCTGCACCGGCGGCAGGGCCCCGCGTGCCCCAGTCCCCTCCTTGCAGACCCGGCTGAGGCGGCCGTGCGGAGGGCTCCCGGGCCGTGCGACACACACACCACCACCGCAGGCACCGAGGCTCTGGGCACCGTGCAGCACCGAGAGGACGCCTCGCATCTGCACGTCTGTCTGACATTTCTGGGGGCGGAGCAGCCCGGCGAGGCGCCCGGAACCACCGCCCCCCCAGACCAGCAGTAGGCGGACGCTGGCCCCTACCTGAATCTTCCATCAAGGAAGGGTCCACTTTCGGAGACAGGAAAGCTATGAAGAGGTTCAGGTGGTAGATTCCCAGGGCGTAGGTCACGATGTACCAGCCCTGGAAGAGAAGGGGCGAGGTCGTCAGCACCGCCAGCACCAGGTGCGCCGGGCCAGGTCCCGTGTGACCCGGCGGACCGCCAGGACCCGGGAGCCGAACTGAGCCACAGACGTGTCCCTCGCAGGACGGAAGGGACAAGTGGCCACAAGGCACGGTGCCCGTCCACGGTGACGGCCTTCTCAGACGGGGTACGCGTCTTCCCAGGGGACAAGCAGGGGCCAGGCAGACGCACTCACTGCCAACGCCGCCGGCTCCCAGCGGCGCGCCTGGGCCGGTCTGCCTGAGCCGGCCGCCACGGAGCCTCGCACCCGCTACCACACGCTCCGCAGGCGTGTCTCCGTCTCTCCCAGGAGAAACCCAGAACCGGAAAGTCGGGGCGCCCAGAACGAGGTCACACCGCCCCAGAGCCCAGCCTCCGCGGGAGCTGTGGAGGCGGGCAGGGCCGCACGACGGGAACGCGCACAGAGCGCGCCCGAGGCCCAGAGTCGAGGGTCCTGCCCCGGTCTTTTCACAATGGGGGCTCCAGCGTGAAAAGGGAAAAAACAGGAACGCCCCGAACCGGCCCCAGGGAACTCGGCACGAGCTGCGGACGTCCTCCCCCCCAGAGCCAGGGGGCTGGCGAGCAAGGAGACGACCTCCAGGCGCGGCGTCCGGGACAGGTTTCCACGCGAGGGCTACGTGGGAGCGTCCCCAGTTCTGAGACCGGCGCGGCGTCCCGTGAACAAACGTGCCCCTCTGTGGACAGCATCGCCCCGACCCGAGGCGGCCCCGGCAGGAGGGCCTGCTCGAGCGAGGGGGCGCCCCCCGGCTCCAGGGAAAACCCTCTGCGGGGCCTGCGCCCGGCCCGTCACCCAGCCCCTCGAGGGCACCTGCACGCGGGGTCCCGACGGCCGCCAGAGCAAGCGCACACTCGGGCTCGGTCTGAGAGGGCGTCGCCTGAGCCAGGGCTCGAGCCCCTCGTGAGCCCCTCCGGCCCCCAGCCCCGCACTCGGCCAGGCGACCCGCACTCTCCTCCGTGGCCTCCAGGGGCAGCTCCCACAGCCGAGCCCTCGGGAGCCAAGGCCCCCCCCACGCCCCAGGGAACGAGGCGGCTGGCCCAGGCGGCCACCCTGGGCCCACGGCCTCTGGGGGCCCCCGCTGTGAGGCACACTCCCGGCAGCCCTCCTTCAGAAGACCGTCTCGGGGACTGTCCTCACGTGCAGGGCCCAACCCAGATCAGATCAGACACCGTGTCCTCACCCCACCCCGACCCGCAGGTGCGCGAGGCACCGGCAGCGCCTCTGCCGTGGGCGGCGCCCGCACCTACCTGCAGCAGGTACACTCGGACCATGTAGACGAAGCTCAGGCCCAGCGTCACCACCCACCGCATGGCCGTGTACGGCGTCGACTTGTCCAGCCAGGACTGATAGATCTGCAACGACAAGAGGGCACGCGTGTCAGGTGGCCCCTCCGGGGTCGCCTGTTCCAGCCTGCGCGGCACCACGATGACGGCACCGCGATGACGGCCGGCCCGAACGAGCCTGCACTCACGCCTGAGGCAGGCCCGACCCCGAGCAGCAGCGCTCCATCCAGAACGCGCTGTCGCAGCCACGGGCACTCGGCTGCGGAGGCCGGGCCGTGGCAGGGAGCGGCCCCCCGGGACTGCCGCCCACGCGCAGGACCCGGCCCGCGGGCCCCTCGGAGCCGCCCGACCCCGGCAGTGCGGAGCGCGCACAGGCGGGCGCCCCGGCAGCCGCGGGGCACACGGAAGTACCCCCGAGTCTGTGCACACACACGCGTGAGCACCTGAGCAATGAGTGTGCGGGTGTCGTTGGCCCACTTCGCTTCCGGAAGTGTTCGAGTTCTAACTGTGGAAACTTTCCGTGGGTCGTAACAGTAGGGAGGATACGCGAGACCAGACAGACCCACCACCCGGATACAACGACTACCAAGTTTTAAAAGTTGTTTTTCAAGTTTAAAAATTGATTCGGTGCTACAGGCACCGCTCCACTGAGTCAGAGCTCTTCTCCAGAAAAGCCCACACGCAGCGGCTACGTGCTGCCGAGGTGCTGCAGGCCCCAGCTCCGCCCCCAGCCTGGGCCCACCCACCGCGCGCAGACCCCGGCGAGAGGGGCCACGGGGGCGTGGGTGTGGGTGGCCAGGAGAGGGGCGGCGAGGTCAGACTGGGCGGGCCACCACGCCTGTGCCGGCCGGGAGCTGAGGACGGTCTTCACGCGTCGCTGGAGGCTGGAAACCACCCGGAACGCGACAGCGTGGCGGAGAGCACACGTGGCCCCAAGACCCGACCCACTCGCCGCCCGGCCACGTGCAGAAGGCACAGCGCTCCCCGCCAGGGGAGGGCCCTTCCTGCCGGCATGACCGTGAGGCCCCCGCAGGCCCCGGGGAGGCCGGTGCGCACACGCCCTGCAGAAAACGTGCTGGGACCACAGCTCCTGGTCCACACGGTGGCGCGGCGTGTCTTCAGAACACCCACCTGTCCGAGCCGCGTGAAGAACCGGTACACCACAGAAGGCTTCCCGTGGACGGACTCCCCGACGCTGTCGCCTTCCGACATCCTGGAACAGAGAGACACAGGGCTTCTCCGTGAGCGGGCCGCCGGGGGTACCCCCCGCCCCTGCCCCCGGTGTGCCAGCGGGCGGGCGCCCAGCCTGCGGCCCTCCCCACACCACTTCCTCCTTCGGGCCGTGCGGCGGGGCGGGGTGGGCCGGGGGGCTGGGGCCGTGCAGAGCGGCGCAGGTCCACTGGCGTCTCTGCCGCTGAGCCCGTGTCCCTCCCGTCTCGCTGGTCCCCAGGGACCACCACTGCCCCGAGAGGCCCCCCGCACACGGCTGCACACACACCGGCCTGCCCCCCTGGGGCCGCACCCACGCCTGCCTGCGCTCCCTGGGCGCCCCCTCCCCGCCACCTCCCACGGCCGCCCCTCAGGCTGCTCTCCATGGTGCCAGTGCTGGCCAGGCCCCTCCTGGCCCCTGAGGGCCATGGCCTGCACCCCACCTAGAGAAACGCGGCCCACTGCCTGTGCCCCAGTTCCCCATCGGGGAGCGGAGGTAACCCTACCTGCTCATGACTAATGCAACGTGCCGTTGTGACTCCCTGGGGAGCCCACCTGTGACAACCCCGGTGACCGGGTGAAGTGGGCAGCGTCCCCCCATGTCACTGGGGGGGGGGGGGGCGGGCGGGCGGGGGTTCAGTCTTAAACAGTTTAAGCCACTTGTCCAAGGTCGGGAGCACCTCCTCCAACAGAGCAGGCCACTACCCGAACCTCAGAATGAGAAGGACCCAGAGAACGGGGCACTGCCTGTCCCCGTGCTGGTGAGGACTCGGGGACAAAGCTCACCGCTGTCCCCAGCCTGCAGGCAGCACCCCCCAACCTGGAGCCACAGTCGGGCTTGTTTCCAAGGCTCCTGACCCATGTGCTGCCGGCCTCGGCTCCCTCCTCTGGGGGACGCGGCTCGCGGACAGCAGCCCTTCCCCTCCACAGACAGGGTGGTTGGGGCGGCCCCTCTGCCCGGGCCCACACCTCCCCGTCATTCTGCACTGGGAGCCCCAAGCCGCCCTCGTTTGGACGGGGAGGTCAGCAGGCTGGGGGTGCGGCGGGGGCCTCCGGTGGAGACACTTCCCAGCCACAGCTCCGACGCCCAGCGGCCCGAGCGGCCCCACCGTGCCACACGGCCAAGCCTGCGTGCGAAGGGCGGCGGTGGCCCGGGGACACCACTCCCTGCAGCCGCCGCAGGCGCGGGACAGAGTCCTGGGGAGCCTCTCCGGGAAGACGAGAGAGTGCCCTTTGCCCCCAGGAAGACCGCAGACCCGAGACGCAGGGATGGACAGAGCAGGACGGGGCTCCCGGCCCTCCCGCTCCCAGGAGGTGCGGCTGCACAGCCCCCTGGGAGCACCCTGTGCTCCCAGCGAGCCAAATGAGCACTCGCGGCCGCCGGGCTCAGGCCGAAGCTGCAGGAGCAACAGCCCGCCCCCCGGGTCCTCCCAGGGCCTCCTGCGCTTCACTCCCCTCCGACCGAGGTGCTCACACCGGAGCGCCTCTGGGCCAGCGAGGCCGCAGGAGTGGGGTCAGAGGGAACCCACTGTCCGTCCCCCTGAAGCAGCCCCCCAGGGAGACACGGTCGGGGACACCCTCCCAGAGGCGCGGCGGCCGCCCTCCGGCGCTCCGACCCCACTCGCGCGCGGCCCTCCCTCTCGACCGACGCGCCGTCAACAACAACAGCATCGAGGATGTGACCTTTGGAGCCAAACAAGCTGCTTTCGGCGCCCGGTCCGGTCACTTCCCAGCGGAGGGCCTGGGCGACCACTCCGCACCCCCAGTCGGCCTGGGAGCGGCCGGGCCCCTCCCCGATGCCCCAGCGCCACGGGGACCCAACAGCCCGCGCCTCCCTCACTCCGAGGCCCTCCCGGCCGAGGCCGCTGCACCGGCTGCTCTCCCTCTGCGCAGAGACCCCCTCCCAGGCCCTCGGGGCCCAGCACCCCGTGAATAGTTTGTGGCCAACGCTTTGCCGTTTTCTCCGGCCCTTTTTCTCTCGTTCCTCCTCCCGGAGTCAAGCCCCTCCAGGGGGCCCTGTCTGGGGCCCAGAGCCGATCCGGGAGGAGGAAGGCCGGCTCTGGCAGGCAGTCAGCGGCGGATCAGGCTTCACCGCTTCACTGTCAGCCACAAGGAAACGCGGCAGAGGCGGAGCTCCGCGCCTCCAGCCCGGCACAGCGGGTCGGCTCCCAGTTTCTGGAGGTCATCTGTCCCCAAGGTGCGCGACAGAGGCTTCCAGCCGTGGCCAGCCTGGCTCCCACTGCCGTTCCGCTCACATCCCCGTCCCTCGCTCCTCCCGGGTCCCCTGCGGGACCCTGTCACGCTGCAGCCTCCGGTGCTGCGCTTCCCCCCACGGAAAAGCCCTTCCAGGCGCAGCGGCTCGCCCAGCAAGGCCGCATTCCGCGGCCCCCCCACTCCTCGGAGCGCGAGCACCCCAGAGACGTCCACCTGGCCCGAACCACGCCGCCTCTGACTGCGGCCCTCCCCGCCCGCGGCCCACGGGAGCCGGCCCCGGGCACGGGGGACCCCCGTCTCTCACGGGGCGCCCCCTCGCACGCTCCCGGGCAGTGAGACAGCGAGCAGACAGAGCACACCGCGCGCGCTCGGGGTAACTTCCCGTAGACACAAGGTCCTGCAGACACAAGGAAGCCAAACGGAGGTGCTGCCGGCGAGGGCGGCAGACCCGGGTCGGGGGGGGGGCGGGGGACCGCCGGGCCGGGCCGGCCGGGAGAACCGGCGACTCTGCCACCGAGTTCGGGCTGTTTCCCACGGGCCATCTAGAGCAACCAGGCTGCAGCCTGCCGCCCTCCCACCCGACCACACCGACGCGCCCCGGACCGCAGCGAGCGGACGGGCAAGGCAGCGGCCGCCCCCACACGGCCGGGCTGGCAGCCGGCCGCAACCCAGACTCGCGGCGGGATGGGCGGGGCCGACCACCCCGCCGGCCCCGGGGTCCCGGACCGACCTCGTTCGTCCCGGCACCGCCTATCCCGGCAGCGTCCGCCGCCTGCCACGGCGCCTCGGACACCCGCCCGGTCCCGCCTACCCCGGCCCCCGTCCGCCCGCCGATACCTCGCGGCTCTGCGGCGCCCGAGCGCGGTCTCCGAAGGCCGCGGGAAGGAGGACGCGGGCAGGGGCCGCGCCGGTACTTCGCTGGGTCTGGGAACGAGTAGCCGAGCACTTCCGCTCCGTAGTGCGCGGCGCCGCCTCCGGGCCTCCAAGATGGACGCCGGGGCGGGGCGCAGAGCCTCCAACCATTTCCGCTTCCGGTGCGGGCGCTTCAACGCAGCGGAAAAACGTCAGCGGAGGAAATGCGCGAGGCCGCGCAGGCTCAGACGCGTCCTCCGGCTCCCCGCGCGGCGCTGCAAGGCTGGAGCTTGTTTCCGCCCAAGGACCTGACTCGTGGCCACGCCCCTAGCAACCAACGAGCCAATGGAGGAGGACTTAGTGGTTGCTAAGGGAAACCGCTAGCGGCGAAGATGGCAGCTGCCAGGCAAGGAATCCTGCAGCGCCAGGACCCGCCGGGGCGGCCGCCACAGGACGGTAACGGCTGCAGGCCCGGGCCACAGGGCGGGCGTCCGGCGGCCCCTTGCCCTACGGGGCCTCCGTCTGGGTAGGAGGGCGGTGGGAAGGAGCCCGCGTCCCCCGATCCTGGCCAGGCTCCCCCGACGAGCCTCCACGAGCCCCGGTCGGCACCCGGAGCCCCGATCGCCCTTGGCCTTGGAAGGGGTCGCGCCTCCGAACGTGCTGGTGCCTCTCGGGATAGGCGGGGGAAGTCCCGGGGCCTGGAAACCGACCCCAGAGGAACAGAGCCGGGACGCGTGGTTCAGAGGTTTGACGGGAGCTATTCTTCAAGGGAAGGGACCGGAGTGAACTCCAAGCCCACGCCACTCTCTTCAGGCAGAATCCGACCCGCGATTATGGCAGATGCTGGAGTCTGGCAACGCCCCCGCCAAGGGGCGCCTCACACACGGGGGGGGGGGTGGCGGGGGTGGCGGGGGTGGCGGGGTTGGAAGATGGGAGCCGGTGAGCTCAGCAGCTGAGTGGGGGCGTGGTCCTCAGGGGGCCCAAGGCCACCGGAGGGGCCCCGCAGAGAAGCGGCAGGGGCGGTTTATTCCCCCACTGCGTCCCTGCCTTCCTCGGGCCAACCGGGTCAGCTCAAAAGCCCCCTCCTACTAATGGCTCCCACACCGCGGGTCTGGCGAGGCCCTCCCACTGGGCCCGCCCCTCTGCGCCGAGCAGGTGCTCACGGGCTGGTGTACAAGCCAGTGAAGGAGTGGGTGCGTGGACAGCGAACAGGAGAAGTCTCCTGACCCCCAGCCTGAAGCTTTGGGCAGCAGCGTTGGGGAGGGGGGGGTTGCAAGAGGTGGAGTGCACCGATGCCTTGGGAGCCCCCCAGGGGGGCTGCCTGCGGTCCCTCAGTGCCCCCAGATCACCCCACGTGCGTGTGTGTTGGACGTCAGCCAGGCGGTCTGTGGCACGTGCTCACCCGTGTGTCTTCTTTCCAACGGTCAGGTTACGGCGTCTACACGTTCCCGAACTCTTTTTTCCGTTATGAGGGGGAGTGGAGAGGAGGCAAGACCCACGGTAAGAAGCGACCGTGGCCTCTTCCCGCAGCGGCCGCCTCACGGCTGACAGCCCGTCTCCTCGGGGAGCCGGGGCAGGCGGGTGGCACCGGCAGCCAGCGGGACTGGGCCCTCACGCTGTCGCTATTGCCCGTGGCGTTGGGGCTCGCCGGACACCACGCCCTGGTGCTGCCCCGCCACGGGCCCCAAGGCCGGGGTCACGGTGACGTCTCAGCCTGCCGCCCCCGCACAGGCAGGGGGACCACCCTCGAAACCCTCCCTGAGTTCTAGCTCATCCGTGCCCAAGCGGGAGTAATGGCAGCTGCCGTCGGGGCTCATCCCCGGTGAGAGGGAGCTCACCGCCTCCCACAGAAAGCCTCGGCCGCGGGGGAGAGAGAGCCGCGGCACGCCGCCGGGAGGCCTCTGCCGACGCCCAGCCCAGGCGGCCCGGAGCGCGGCCCGGAGCTCGGCCCACAGTCTGGCGTCCGTCCGCAGCTCTGTCCCTCCTCTGCTGGTTCTCCTGCTGGAGAATCGGCCTGTTGGAGTTTTCTCGCATGCGTCCTTGTGTCTGTCGGCGCCAGTATCTTCTGTGTCTTTGACCTTCTGACCTTGATTGCAGCGTTTTTGCCACACAGAGACTTGTCACTCTTATTCCAGTCTCTGGCTCTGCCTCCGGCTGGGCACCAGGGTTGCACTTGAGACCGTTCAGAGCCTGGCCTGAACCAAGCAGGTCACCTGGTTGGAATGCATTCTTCAGTGACACCCTGTGTCCACAGGCTCTCTCCTTCTGCCCTTGCACTGACGCGAGGTGACTGGGGTCCCTGCTGAGGGGGTGTAGGACACTGGGTCCCCTCTGCACTTGTGACGGCTCTGCCGGTATCCCAGCCAAGACAGCAGAGTGCTCAGTCCTGTGTCAAGAACATTTTTCACCCCGGCTGGTGTGGCTCAGTGGATGGAGCGCCGGCCTGCAAACCGAAGGGTCTCTGGTTCCATTCCCAGTCAGGGCACAGGCCTGGTTGCGGGCCAGGTGCCCAGTAGGGGGCGCATGAGAGGCAACCACACATCAATGTTTCTCTCTTCTTTCTCTCTCCCTTACTCTCTCTAAAAATAAATAAATAAAAACTTTTCAAAGAAGAACATTTTTCAAAACCAATGCACACACGGGCCAGTTGGCGGAGCGTGCCCACAGGGCCCTGAGCGCTCCGGAGCCTGGCTCCGCTCCCCGGGCAACAGCCCGGGGCCCCTCCCAGCTGCCGCCCGGTGTCGCATCCCGGTGTCTCTCGCCAGGCCGCGGGAAGCTGCTGTTCAAGGACGGGAGTTACTACGAGGGCGAGTTTGCGGACGGGGAGATCGCGGGTGAAGGCTGCCGGCACTGGGCCGCGACAGGTCAGCTCCGGACTCGCCTGGCAGCATGGCACCCCCGCTCCGTCCTCATGAGCCCTCTGCCTCCCGGTGCGGAAGGCACTCCCCTCCGTGAACCGGGGACCCTGGCGTCCTGGAGGCGTCTCGTGGTGGCACCTGCCGGCCTGGGGCCGGGTGCTGGCGCCCCGCCCACGGCTTGACTGGGCTGTCTCCTGTCCCCCCCCCCCGACTGTCACAGATGGGCGTGGCCGTCAGTCCTCAGTGGGGAGACGGCTCACCCCACAGACCCCAGACACCAGTGCCCCTGAGGTCGGTGTGGGGTGGACCCTGGGGGAAGTGGGAGGGCGGGCCCGGACCCCCTCTGTCCCCTCGCCACCTAGAGTCCAGGAGAAAAGAGACTCTGCTCTGAGACGACTCCACTGCCACCGGGGCTCGGGGTGCGGGTGGGGGCACGGGAGCCGCTCTGACCCAGCCCGTGTGTTTCCCTTTCCCCTTGACCACCCCAGGGAACACCTACTCCGGGCACTTTGTCCTGGGAGAGCCACAGGGCCACGGCGTCATGACCTACGGAGCCGGGGGCTGCTACGAGGGGGCGATGTCCCGCGGCATGAGGGAAGGTCAGGCGTCCACCGGAACTCGGGGCGCCCAATGTGCGGGGTCGCCGGGCCGGGCGGGCTCAGGGACCTGCACCCAGCCAGGGCGCCCGGGGCCCCGTGGGTCCAGGAGCCTCACCCCTGCGTGGCCGTGTGGGCAGGACGGAGGCGTGCACCCCTCTCCGCCCCCAGAGCCACGTCGGGCCGGTGCCGCATGTGGGGGGCGGTGACAGCCCCCAGAACCCAGGGGCGCAGAGTAACCACTGCTGGACCATCTGCTCCCAATCCCAGGCTCACGGGTGTGGCCTGGGCTCCGGGAGCAGGTCCTCGGGCCTGGCGTGGGGTCGCCATATGGCTGCGGTCATAGCAGCCAAGCTGGGCTGGTGGCCCCTGGGTGGTCTCCGTGGCCTCAGGGCTCCCAGGGGCGTCCACACCCTGCTGGACAGCAAGACCAGAGGCCGCACCTGGGAGTGGGGGCGGGGACCGTGCCCCGAGAGGGTGGTGGGCGATGGGCGCAGCCTGAAGGCCGGAGGCTCATGGTTCCCGGAGGCCGAGCTGCCCCCGAGGTGAGCAGGACAGTCAGTCGTCCGAGTGTCCACTCACACTGGAGGTGGGTCGCACTTCCGACCCCCTGAAGCCAGAAAAGCCCGAACGCAGCGCTGCGAGCCGGCCTGTGCGTGGACCAGGTCCTCCAGCCGCCCACGCACGGCTTCCCGTGAACACGCCTGCACACGGGTCAGGCCCTGTGCCGCGGCACGCCCGCAGACAGCGGCGGGGGGCGGGGGGGGTTCCAGCCTGCACGGGGTCTGGGCCCCTCGGCGCTGGCCCTGCCCCTCCCTCGGGGCCTGTGAGGCCCGGGCCCGGGGCTGCTGGGCCCGGCGTGGAGGCTGCCAGCGCCATGCCGGAGAACCAACCTCGCCCCCGACCCTGGGGCCAGGGTGCCGTGTCCCGTGGGTCCTCCAGGCCCCACCTTCCTGCTCCGGGGAGGGTCCGCCTGCCACTGGAGGGAGGTGACCCGGGCCCCTCGGCTCCTCCCCAGGACACGGGTGTCTGGTGGACCAGGACGGGAACGTGTACCGAGGGTCTTTCCACAGCAACAAGCAGCACGGCCGAGGGCACATGGCCTTTCGGTGAGTGTGCGGCCCGACGCCTGTGCCCCAGCCCCAGGGCCCGGCTGGTTTGGGTGCGGCTGGAGCTGGGTGTCGGGTGGTGCTCATGCCCCACCCCCCACAGCACACTCGGGAGGTGGGGAGGCGGTGTGGAGGGGCCAGCAGGGGTCCCGGGCTGGGCGTCAGGACCGACACACCCTGGACCGGCTCCTGGGCCGACGTCCTGCCTTCGGAACCCGCCTTCCCCTTTCCTCTGCCACCGTCCTCCCCAAGCCCCGCACGCCCGGGGGCCGGTGGCCGCGTGCCCGTCAGGACCGGCGCCTGGCGCCCCAGCGGCCCCGGCCATCTGTTCTGGGCCTATTTCTGCCTCGACCCCGGCGGTGCACGCTGAGCCCGGCCGGCAGAGCCAGCCGGCGTCGACGCCGCCACCTGGCCGCCCTGCCTGAGAGCGGCCTCTGTGTGGCCCCCAGGAACGGGGACTCGTACGAGGGCGACTGGGTCCGGGGCCAGCGCCAGGGCCACGGCGTGCTGCGCTGCGCGGACGGCTCCACCTACGAGGTACCGGGCCTCCCCGCGGGGCACTGAGCGCGGTGGGGGGCGGCGACTGTCCCCGCCTCACTGGTGACAAAGCCGAGGCTCCGGGGAGGGAATATGGGAGCCCGTCTGCTCCCTGGGGGCCAGGCCCTACGTCCCCCTCTGCACCCCTGACCCGGTCACTGCAGCGGGTGCCACCCCTCAGGTTGGGGCTGCACCCAGGTGAGGGGGTTCAGGGGTGCCGGGAGCCCTCTCAGGACCCAGGGCCCACCCTTCTCTCTCCCCCGGACGCTGGCCTGGGTGCCAGACGGGAGGAAAGCGAGTGGGGGCCAGGGCAGATGTTGGCACAGTCATGGCACGCTCGCACCCGTGCCCGGTCGGCGCGGGAGCCCCGGCGCCGGTGGCCGGAGGGCCATCCTGCCTGGGCGTGGCCATGCAAGCTGAGACCCGAGTGGACACGAGGAGCTGCCCCTGGAAGGCCGCAGGGCAGGGCAGGCGCCTGGCGCTGGTCAGAGTTCGTCCCGGGCATCGCGGGGGCCGCTGGCAGGAGCCAGCGGTGGCCTGGCCCTCGTGGTCAGAGGTCTTTCTGGTCCCTCGGGGGGTCCCGCCGTCAGCAGGACGGGTGACGGGGCCCACGAGGAGCGTGCAGCGCCCGTGGGGTGCTGACGGGTGAGGACCCCGGCCTCGTGGATGGAGAGCCGAGCTGGCCCCTGAGCCCAGGCCACCCCCACCGAGTAGTGGAGGCCCCACCCCGGGGAAACCGGCCTCAGAGAAACCGCTGCTGGGGCCGCAGCCCCGCCGGCCAGGCCGGAGCCCTCTGTGCTCCAGGGCTTCCGTGCCCGCTCTGCCCCGCCCCACGGGCCTCGGCGGCTGCGGGTGCTGACCTGAGCACCTCTCGGACGCTGCTGTGGCCCGTGGGAGCTCCGTCCGCAGGGCGTCCGTCCAGCCTGCTGGACCGGCCTCGGGGCCCCTCACGAGCCCTACAGCGCCCAGGGAACTGCGGGAAGAGCCGGGTGCGACCCCCTCCCGTCCTTCCCAGCCTGCAGGCGGGCACTCCTGGTGTCGGGTTCCACACCCTCAGCTCCGCAGGCCTCCTGACACCCGAAGGAAGGGCCCTTGGCTGCCCTGCAGGGGCAGAAGCCAGGCACCGTGGAGGCCTCCCAGACCAGGGAGAAGTGGCCGCGCCGCCTCCAGCCCCGCTCCCACGCCCTCCAGACCTGGGCCCGCGGGCCGCACCAGGATGCCGGCAGGGTGGGTGCGCAGGCTGGGCGGGGCTGGCAGAGAGCTTCCTGTCCTTCCAGGGACAGCAGCGGTGGCTTCGTCCGGGAGGCTGGTCTGTCCCAAGGCCCCCGGGGCCAGGGCTGCCGCCTGGGCGTCGAGGTCTGGACACTGTGGGCCCCACTCAGGCCTCAGGCTGCCGCCTGCCTGCTCACCACCAGGGGGCGGCCCAGCCCTGCCGGCGGCCGGCAGCTCCCCATTGGTTCAGGGCTGGGCCTGGTGGGGGGCGGAACAGCCCGGGCTGCAGCTTTGTCAGAGGGGCGAGGAGGAGGCAGCCGCCTGGACAGTGGCCCCTTGGTGTCCCCGGCCGCCCTGGCCCGGCCTGCAGATGCCAGGATCCCGGCAAGCCCCGGAGGGAGGCAGCGGCGTCACCGACTTGCAGCGCCGTTCAGATGCACACGTGTCCCTCCCGTGTGGGAGCCTGGTCTTCCGTGCTGCGTGTCCCCGGGGTTCGGACACCGCCTGCCTGCCTGTCACGCTGCGCAGTGGTGCCCACACCTCGTGGACCCGCCTGTGCGGGAAGGGGGGGCGGGGGGCCCTGCCCAGCGTGCCGCCGGGCTCTGGGTGTGGCGGGCCCGGAGGCGCGGCAGCAGCCCCAGGGGAGGCACCAGGACTTTCCGCAGAGAAAACTGGCCTCGGGCAGCTGGAAAGGGCTGCCTGGGATGAGGGGAGGGTCCGCACTTAATTCCGACAGCTTATTCCAGAGCATTCGGGGCGGGGAGCACCCCCAGTGTCCTCTGCCCTTACACCCAGCCCGAGGAGGCCCAGTGCCGTCGGGGAGGTGGGCGCGGGCCGGGCCGGCGGGGACGACGACGCAGCACGGTGCCCCTCACGGTTGCCTGCGAGAACACGCCCCACGCGGGGCCCCGTCCCCCTCAGTCCCACGCTGGCCGTCCCAGTCTCCTCCCGCCGTGTCACGCCGGCCACACGGGGGTCCCCGCCGGCCCTGCCGGGCAGGACAGAGGGGCAGCGGTGGGTGCATCCGTAGGTGCCCCTGGCCGTCCGGTCCCGGCCTCGGTGGGAAGGGCGGGCGTTCCCAGGCGTGGTCTACGGCGTCCGCCACAAGTGTCCCCGCTGGCGCTGTGACCCTGCTCGCGGGGCCGTGGCACCCGGTTCCGGTCCGTGTTGAGGTCCAGAAGCTGGGCTCGCACAGAACGGCACCGTGGGCCCGCCTCGGGGCGCCCCTTCTTGGTGACCGGGGTGACTGCGCCGGCCGACACGGCCCCGCCCCTCGGTGGGGAGCAGGCTGCGTGGTTGGAGGGGCGGCTCTCAGGGCCGCAGCCCGAGGGGCCAGGCCCACGGGCCCCTCTGCACCGGCCGCCCCCAGGGCTCCTGACACTGCCTTCCCCGCGTTCCTTTCCCCAGCCCGTGGCGCCCGCGGCTCCCGTGGCTCCCGTGGCTCCCGTGGCGGGGACCCGGGGGCCCCTGCGGGCAGCACCCCCAAGCAGGGCACCGACTGCAGCCCCTGCCCGGGCCCAGCGGCCGAGTGTCCTGGGCCCCCCGGAGGGCCGCGCAGTCCCCGGGCCCGACCGGCTTCTGCGGAAGAGGGGACGGCCCGAACGGGCCGCTGGGCACACTCTCTTCTACCTCGCAGGCGTGTGAAATGCCGACGATCCCGAAACCGCCCACAGAAATCACGTGCCCGCTGTTTCACCCGTTCTCCCCCCGCGTGTGCGAGGCTCGGACGGAGGGGCTCGCTGGGCCCGGCGCGCGGCTGTGTGCGCGGGAACCGCTACCTCTTCGCTATCCCGGAGCGACCGCTCCTGGTGGGGGCGCGGCCTCCTCGGCCGGGGCGGCCGCGGTGCCCCGTCCCTTGCGAGCAGGCTCTTCCTGCCGCGGGGTGGCCCTTCCGCACCCCGCTGTGCCAGCCCGGGGCGCATGACGCTGCTCCCCGACACCCCGGCTCCGGGGCACTCCCGGGGGGCGCACGCTGTGCGGAACACGCGCACCGCGTCCACAGGAAGGGCGTGCCCCCGCCCTCGGGACAGCGCGGCTTCCAGCCTGGCGTCCCCAGGGGCCGCCCCCGGTGCCCGTCTGAGCCCGCGGCTCTCTCCGCAGGGGCAGTGGCACCACGGCATCTTCAGTGGCCTGGGCAGCATGGCCCACTGCTCCGGGGCGGTCTACCGCGGGGTATGGATCAACGGCCACCCGGTGGGTAGGTGTCCCTGCCTCCGGCCCACGCGGGGGCCTCCGGGGGGGTCGCCTCTGGGTCGGGGTCTTCTGCAGCTGCACGGGAGGCGCTGGGCCCAGAGGTGAGGGGGCGGGGTGAACGGAATCTGAAGTCCCTCACGAGAAGCACGTTTCAGCGTGGTTCTGAGGGGGGGCCTGCTGCGCGCTGGCCCCCCAGTCACGGGGTCCCCCACCCACAGGGCCCCTGCCTCTGTGACCCCGGCCTCCGTCCTGCCCCCGCCTGAGCTCCCTGCTCTGTGACATGAGCCTGCGGGGGCCTCCTCTGGGGGGGCTGCCTCCCCCTGCCGTGTTGCCCCCGAGCATCCAAGAGGGGCCCCACCCTGCTAGTGTCCAGGATGGGGTGCCACCCCGGCACCCTTGGCCGGGAGAGGCCCCAGGGGCACCAATGTCAGCTGCCCCGGCCCACGAGGGCGCCCACTGAGCCAGATGGACTCCTGGGTGAGGGCCAAGGACCTGGGAGGCAAAGGGGCCAGGGCTCCAGGGGAGGGGTCCTGGCCTCCAAGGCACACCCCCAGGGGTGCACAGCCATCCCACAGCCAGGGTGCAGGGCTGGGCCCGGGCACCCCCGCTCAGGTGGAGCCCCTAGACAAGGCCCCGGATCCTCCCAGCCCCCCAGCCTCAGGCATGGCCCTGGGTCCGCCTCCCGGCAGCACCACCTCGGGAAGGAGTCCAGGTCTCCCCACCCTCAGACTCAGCGTCCCGTCAGAACCCCTGGGGAGGGGGGGTGCCGCCTCGCTGCCCCCATCAGAGTCCCGGCCGGCCGGCCGGCCCTCCACCCCCACCCACACCTGGTGGACGCCCTGCAGCCCCTCCGACCCAGTCGGGTCAGGCCGGAAATGGCTGCCTCGGAGGACAGCAGCTGGCCCTGCGGCGGCTGCCCTGTCTCAGCCTCACTGACGCCCGGGCCACTGCTCCGGGGGAGGGGCGCCGTCTGCACCCTCGGGCCTGCGGGCAGGGCCCCTCTCGGGTCGCCAGGGTGTCCCACCCCTTGGGGAGAGGCCCTGCCGGTAGGGGGACCCAACCAGGGGCGGGAGGCACCCGGCACCCAGCACCCAGCAACGCCGCCTCCCCTCTCTCCCAGCGCGAGCCGCGAGGATCGCGGTCCTGGGCCCGGAGATGCTGCGTGTGGCCCCCGGCGCTCCCTTCACGGTGCGCGTCCAGCTGCAGCAGGAGGACGGGGCCGTGGCCGAGAGTAAGCGTCCCTGCGGGGTGGCCGACCGTCCCAGGACGACGGGCAGGCGTCGGGGTCTCGGACGAGAAGCCACGTGGATGGCAGCGTGGGCGTGGGGGTGCGTGGACACACGTGCTCCGTGTGCCCGGGTGTGTGTGTGAGAGTGCATGTGTGTGACCCGTGGCTGCCACGCGCCCCGTGGAGCGAGAGGACAGTGGCTGCAGCCCTGCGTGCGTCTGCACAGGCCAGGCTCCGCCCGGCACGGGGAGAGGCCCTCGTCCTCAGGGGCAATCAAGCAGGGGCAGGTTCCATGTGGGGGTGGGGGTGGGGGTGGGCACGCCGATGTCCCACAGCCCTTCCCAGCGGGGAGCCAGTGCCCAGAGAGGCCCCCCGCCCCGAGACACCGTGGGGGCAGGCCCGCCCACCAGGGAACGCCCGAGACCCCTGAACACTGGCCTCTCCGGTCGACACGCCATAAAACTCACCCACGTTGGCCGTTCCGCGGTTTCCAGGGAGGTGGCAGCCGGGCAGCCGACCCTGCCCGGCAGCGCTGACTTGCGGAGTTTCCGCCACCGAGGAGGACCCTCCCCACGCACGCCATCCACGCCCTCAGCCCCTTGCAGCCAGGGCCCCCCCGGGTGCCGCCCCCCGCCCCCCGTGGGTTCGCTCCCCTGGGTGCGCCCTGCGGGCTGTGCCCCCCGCCCTGCAGCGTGCACCGGCACCGCGTTCCCAGGGCTGCCGTGCAGCCTCGCAGCCTTGTAGACCCGCCCACTTTCCCCTCCCGCCCCGGGGTCACCCGTCACCCGCCCACGGACGCTGGTGTGTGGCGCTGCTGGGGGCACCCGCGCTCACGCTTCCGCGGGAATGTGGGTCTCCCTCGCACACCAGGAGCGCGGGAGCGCACGGGGTTTGTGTCTGAGCCTTAAAGAAACCGCCACAGCGTCTCCCGAGGGTGGCGCGCGCCTCCCGTCCTGCTGACCGCACCCCCCACCACCCGGGGCTCCCCCCAGGCGCCACCCGAGGGTGTCCCATGGCACCGACCCCGGTCTGTGTGACTCAGGGCCGTTCGGGTCATCTCTTTCTTCCCACGTGTTGGGGGCCACGTCACGAAGTCGCCTGGTGCGTGGCACGAACCGGTTCCCGGGCCTCTCCCTTCCGCACAGCGAGGCCCCGGCCTCCTCCCCGTGCGGGTCCCGGGGTCTTTGCTCTCCCCCCTCCCCATTTCGGTCCCGTTGAGTCCTCCTTGCGTCTCCCTGCGTTGCGTTCGATTGAACCTCCTTCCTGTGGTTCTGACGGAGGAGACAGAGGCTGGTCCGGGCCCTTCCTGGTGCAGGGGTTCGTCGCCGCACCCCTCGCTCTGGGCGCCGCGTTAGCTGCGCCCCAACTCCCCCATGTGGCGCCCTCACGCCCACTCGGCCCGAGACACTCCGTGACTCCTTGCTCACGGGGCCTGAGAGTGGGGGGGTGGGGAGAAGGGTGTCGCATCTCACTGCCCAGCGTGCGGAGGCCCCTCTGCGGATGGTTTCTCGCCCTCGGCCACGGGGCGGGGGGGGGGAGGCCCGACCCCGTGCGTCCTGGATCCCCGTGCCTTCACTCACGGGACGCGCCGGTGGCCCGGAGAACGGTCCCTTTGGGCGCGTGTGCTGCGGGCACATCGAGGGGGGCGCGATTGCCCCCCTCTGTTGGGGCTGCCCTGTGAACGGCGGCCGGCCGGTGCACTTTGCCGGCACCTCTGCTCCGGTCCGCTGCGTCCCCGCCCGCCGCCCGCAGGCCTGTTCCGTCTGCTCCCAGCAGTGCCGCGAGTCCCTTCTGCTTCCATTTCCGGAAGCTTCCGTTTCCTCGTTTCGATGCTCTGTTGCCAGGGGCATCGACGTGGGGGATTCTCACTGCCACTGACTTCACCGACGCCCCCTCGTGGCGCCCCAGCCACCAGCCGCCCCCCGTGGCCTGGTGCTCGTCGCCCCAGCCGTGCCAGCCGCCGCCGCTCAGCACCCCCCCCCCCCGGTCTCTTCGCTGTGCCCCACCCCGCGCGTGGCCTCGAGGTCCATGACACGCCTGACTCGATGGGTCCAGACGTCCCGCCCGCTCCTCGTGCCCCCCTCCCCTCAGCTCTCTCCTCCCCGGTGCGCCCGCTGGGCGGCTGCCTCTCTGGGCCGGGAGCGTGTCGTCCCTGCACTGCGTCTCCCGTGTCATCGGCCTGGTCTTCGCCACTTTTTTTTTAAGATTTTATTTATTTATTTATTTTTAGAGAGGGAAGGGAGGGAGAAAGAGAGAGAGAAACATCCATGTGCAGTTGCTGGGGGCCGTGGCCTGCGACCCAGGCTTATGCCCTGGCTGGGATTCGAACCTGCGACATTTTGGTCCTCAGCCCGCGCTCAAGGTCTTTGCCACCCTTCGTCTTGTTATTTCAGGGGCTGAGGGCGAGCAGCCCACGCAGCTGGCCCGCCCGCTGCCAGGCAGTGCCGCGCTTCCCCCGCCTACGGGGGGGGGGCACGGCCGGGCGTGCACCCCGCTCCTAGCCGTCCTCTCGCTGCGGCCTCCCCGCTTCCCGACACGCCGCTGCCCTCGCTTTCGTTCCCACGGCCGCGGGCCTTCGGGAGAGTGTGTGACTCCCTGACCGGCGTGGCTCAGCGGGCCGGGCGTCCTCCGGCAAAGCGCAAGGTCACGGGCTCCGTTTCTGGCCGGTGCGCGGGCCTGGGCTGCGGGCGGGTCCCTGCGGGGGCGCGGACAGGGGGCATCTGACCGACGTTTCTCTCTTGACACTGACACTGCTCTCCCTCTCCTCCCCCCGCTTTTCCTCTCGCTCTGAAAAACACACACACACACCTGAAACTCTGAAAAGGGCGTAAAACACAGAGAACGGCGCCTCCCCTGCGAGGCCTCTCGCCCGGGTCTGCCCCGCCCTCGCAGACCCCTCCCCCCGCCCCGCCACGGTCTCCTGTCCGCCCAAAGGGCTCAGCCCCCGACGTCCCCGGTTCCCCGTCAGGCGGGTTTTCTGGCGACGGGTCCCTCCCGCTTCCAGGCGGGCGTCTGCGAACCTCTTGCGTTTACTTTCACTTTTCACTTTCGTTTTCCCCGCATCCTTGCCTGGGGGCGGGCTCGCCCCAGGTGCCCGTGAGGCGCCCACGTCCTCTGAGCCAGTGGCGACGGGGCGCACAGTCCATTCCCCGCCTCGCAGGGCCGCCCGTGCCGCCCGGTGCCCAGGCCCCGGGTCTCTGGGTGCCGTGTGCTTCCCTGGCTGCTGAACGGACGCAGGAGGGCGAACCGGCTCCGGCGGCTCCGTCTGGACCCGAGACGGGGGCCGGTCGGACCACGCTGGTCTCCGAGCTGCACGCAGCTCAATGTCTTCCCGGGTCCGGGTCCTTCCCGGGTTTGCTCGGCTGCGTCCTTCCCAGGTCTCAGCGCCAGGGGCTGGGCAGCGGCTGCCACTGCCCCTGCCCCTCCTTCTCCATCGGCCCCTGAGCCCCAGAGCCCTTGGGACCAGCCCTGTGCTGTGCATCGTTGGGGCGCGGATGGGTGGGACCGCCTGTCCCAGGTCAGGGTGGGAGATGGGCGGTGAAGGGCCAGACACCCCAGGGTGGCCAGGCCCCGAGGGAGGCTTCTGTGTGTCTGCTTGTGCTGCTGCACGGCCAGCGGACGCCCTCCCACGGGGACCCGCCAGTGCCAGAGGCACAGTGGACGCCCTGGGCCCAGAACCGGCTGGGGTCTGAGCAGTGTGGACCGCCCTGCCGAGGGCCCGGGGAAGGGGGGAGGCGGTGGGGGGCGGCCGGGGCTGTTGTGAGGGCCCCGCCCGAGGCCCAGCACCCTGAGCCCCAGGGGAGGAACCCGGGCCCTGGGGGCCATTTCCCGGGCCCTGGGGCCCACCGTGCTTCTGTCTCCTTCCGGAAGGCGAGGACGGCCGGGTGCTGAGGGTCTCGGCGGGCGTCAGGTACGTGCAGCTCCCGGCCTACTCGGACATCTGCTTCTTCCGCGTGGACGGGGACAGACGGGAGGCGCCCATCCAGACCCCATTGTGAGTCGGGGGCCCCGGGAAACCCCCACGGGGCGCAGGGGAGGGGCCTTTCTGAGAGTCCCCCACAAGGCCCCGGCCCGGCACTGGGGGCCCAGCAGGGACCAGCAGACGCAGCTGCCAGGAGGGCGGGAAGCACAGGCACCCAGTGGGTGCTGGCCTTGGGGGGGAGCGGGGGGGGCCCCGCCCCCACGTCGAGCTGAGAGCTGAGCCCGCCTGCCGTCCCCCCACCCAGTGGGTTCGAGTGCATCGCCTACCCGCTGTCCAGCCCCTCACGCAGTGGCCTGGAGCCCGGAGCTGCCCCGGAAAGTGCCGGAGACCAGGAGGCAGCGCTGACATCAGACGCCTTGCGAGGCCAGGGGGACCCGCCCGGCGGCCTGCCTGGTGAGTGGAGGCGGCCGCGTGGTCAGCAGCGGGCCGTGCGTCGGTGACAGCAGCTGCCCAGAGCTGGGCACAGTGGACCCGGGGACAGGCTGTCCCAGGGGACCGTGTGCGGCCCACGGGCCTCGCCGGGCAACAGACAGCAGGCCGCCCTCGGGACAGTCCCCATCCGGTGGGTGGGACGGGCGCGGGGCTGCCACCGAGCACCCAGGCCCCTGGAGGGCAGCTCCTGCCCCGGCCCCTGCTCCCGACACCCACTGCGGGGGGGCCCGACCAGAGGGCAGCTCAGGGCTCCGTGTGTCCGGCAGGCGGAGACCTGCTGGGCTGGAGCTGTGGGTGGCTCAGCACCTGCTGAAACCCTGGCCTCGTGGATGGAGGCTGCGTCAGGGGCCCCGGGTGCCTGGGCCAGCGCGCACCTGGGGCCAAGTGGGGGTGACAGGCCGGGCTGCCGTCTCCCCACCCGCTTCTACCCGCACGTCCCCGTGCCTCAGTTTCCCTCTCCTGCAAAGCGAGGCCACGGCCACGTCGGCCTCCAGGACGGCTGACCGGCCCCGCCGCGCTGCCCCCGAGTGCCCCCGCAGATGCAGGGAGGGGCCCGTCTGCTCCCCAGTCCCTCCAAGCCGGCGTCTCCCTCGCGGGACAGCGCACCCCCAAACCCGCGGCGGGGCCCACCCTCCGCTGCCGCCAGAGGCGCCCCCACGGGACCCTCAGCCCCTCGCCCCGCCCGTGCCCGAGCCCTCCACACGGGGCCTGCCTGCTCTGGGCCACAGCCATGCTGGCCACCTGCTGTCGCCCCGGTGGACTCCGTGGAGGAAACGACCTGGCGGTGGATTTCGCTCCGCCGTTGGGAGGACGGTGGCCAGGAGAGACCCAGAAATGGCAATGGCCACAGCAAGGGGGGCGGCTCCGCCGGCCTTTACTCCTCGCCCTGCAGTTCAGAGTGGGGGGAGGCCCCTGACCACCAGGCTTCGGGGAGCTGCACAGGTGCCAGCCATCACGCCCCTGTCCCAGCTAGCAGGAGGGGACGCCTGAGGCCCACGGAAGCCGCCCGGGCGCCACAGCTCGCCAGGCACGGGCAACGGGAAACGCAGCTGCCAGCTGACCCGGACCTGCGGCTGAGCAGCGGGGCGGGGGGGGGGCGTATTCTGTGTCAGGCGGCCGTCTCTGCCAGGCGCTCTGGAAACTCAAACGAGGAGCCCACTGTCAGCCGACACCCCTGGGCCCCGCTGGGCGCACGGCCCTCGGGGATCACGTGGGCAGGGGCCTGGCCGCCGGCCGCCACGGAGGGACCTGAGCCCAGGCAGCAGAGGCCAGAGCCTCCCTCGGCACCGCGCCCCCCCCCGCCGACCTGCACCTGCCCCAGGAAGCAGGTGACCCGCCACGCCCGGCCACCTCTCCCGCTGGTCCACCTGGGGCGTCGGGCAGTGAGTGGCAAAGGCCCGCTGGCGGTGAGGACGTGCAGACAGGGTGGACGTGTGTCCCCCCACATCCCCCCACGGCTTCACAGCCTGAAGCCGTGGACCCCGACGCCTCAGCACACAGAGGCGAGGACCCCGGAGCCCACTGCCCGCGGGGCAAGGCCGCTGGGCCCCACCCCGCCCCCACTGTGCAGGGCCCACGCAGCACCCACCTGGGAGCTGGCCACCCCCCCGCCCGGTGGGACCCAGTTCTCGGCCCAGAGTCCTTCCTCCCCCGTCCGACAGGCGGTTAAGGAAACAAACCCCTCACCGGCCTGGTTTCCACTCACACCAGTGGGCGCAGGGAGGAGAGGACCTGCCTGCCCCCGGAGGCCTGCGTCCCACTGCCCGTTGACGTGAAACATCTCCCTGGTTTTCCCGTTGCTGACTCTCGTCGGGGAGCGAAGCCGCTTTCCTACACGTGGACGAGGGCCAGACACTCTAAGCGCGATTCCGGTCTAATTCCAGCACCTACGTTTCGGCGACAAAGCGCGCTGATTTCACATTCAGGGAGATTTCTCTGCGGAGCCCGCTCACCTTTTGGAGCTCCCGCCCACACTCTGAATGCGGGGGGACCGTCTTTGTTCGCCGCCCTCGGCAGGGCGTCCGCCTCCGACCCCGGTCCCCTGGCGTCCAGCGCAGGTGCCGACGGGGGCCCGAGGGGGCCGGTCAGGCTGGGGGAGGGCCCAGCGGCATGCACACCCCCCCGCAGACTGGGTCTGGGAACCTGAAGAGCTGCAGGCAGCAGGGAGAACCTCGGGCTGCTTGCTTTGTCCCTTCCCTCCTTTCTCTCTGTTGTCAGTGCACAAGGCCCTCCCGGGGGGCGTTTCCAGTGGAGCCCAGTGGTCCCCTCTCCCATGTGTGGGGCGTGCGGCTCTGGGCGTGTGTCTGGCGGGGGCTCGGAACGAGTGCCCGCAGCTGTGAGGCAGCTCTACACACCAAGGTGCCCTTGGCCGCTAGACCCATCTCGCCACTAAAACCGGCAGGCCATGTCGCGGGGAGCTGGGGGCGGCCTGGCTGCCCCCCGCGGGGCTGACGGCTGCTGTGGGGGCGGCAGAGACTCTTGCGGGGCTGTGGGCTTCGAGGGAAACCTGTGCGGGGTTCCTAGGCCAGGAGCCGCCCCTGCCCAGGGCCCCGAGAAGGGCGAGAGGCCGCCGCGCAGGCGCGTGGCTGAGACAGCGGCAACAGCCTCAGACGCCGGGCGCCAGGGTGGGGGCACAGGGCCTGAGGCCACAGCGCCTGGCTGCGGCGTCCCTGTCCCCCTCTCACTGTCCTGGGAGAAGGGCTCTTTGCCCCACAGCTGCCTTGTGTCCTGGGGGCTCCAGGGAGCCCGTCGGCAGGGTGGCGGGGCCAGACTCCCCGGGGTCTGAGGGATCACCCCTGTTGTCTCCCCCTTCCTGCCGCCGGAGCCTGGTCCGGGGCCCGGGGCCCCCAGTTCCGTGCGTCCTGTGGCCACACGGGCGCAGCCCAAGGACAGGGGCCTGGGAGGCTGGTGCCTCCTCCACCTCTCGTCTAGCCCCCAAGAGCAGGTCTTCGGCAGCTGTTGGGGAGAGAAGCTTCAGGACCCTAGATAGAGGGATGAGGGCAGTGTCAGGCTGTTGGGGTCCTGTGTGGCCTGGGGCGGGAGGGTCCTGGTGGAGCCGGGGTCCCCGGGGGGCGGGACCTCTGTGCCCGTGCGGACCTGCTCTGGGAAGGCCACCGCTCATGCACTGCATGCACCTGCGTCTCAGAAGGGACAGATGAGCCAGGGACCCGGCAGGCCGGCCAGCAGCACCAGGCCCTCTGATCAGCCGGGCCAGGGCCTTGGGGGCCTGTGTCCAGCTCGGACCTGGGGGAGCTCCCCAGGGTGGCCGAGGGCCTGGCCGTCCGCAGATGGGCCCTCCCCCTGGTCACACCCTGCCTGGGGCCGGGCTGGGCCGCTGGGCTCACTCCCCTGCGACCTTGAGGTCTGGGGCAGCGGCGGGACAGGCCCAGGCCCCTTGGAGCCACCAGGCCAGTCGGGGACGGTGGGCCCACGGGTGTCCTGGTCTCCCTCGGGTTCAGGTTCCGACAGTGAGGCCGTAAGGGGGCTCGGCCGGGGCTGCTTTCAGCACCCTGCGTCCGTGCCCTCGCCCCCGGGTTAGTTTCTGCGTCCCGTGTCCCCGGGCACCCCAGCCTGCCCCCCCCCCGCCTGGTCCCGTGAGACCCTGCGGGCCCCTGTGTCCCAGGGAGCGGACGCGGGGCTCGGGCTAGGCCCAGCTCCGGCAGAGACGCGCTGCCGGTCAGTGCGACCCCGCCCAGGCCCATGGGGGGGGCAACCGAGGGGGCAGGGCATGTCAGGGGGGCGGCCCCCACGGGCTGGGGCAGAGCTGGACCGGGAACGGGGTGACACGGGCGTGGGGGCGGGTGTCGGGAGGTGCCCGGGGCCGGCCGGATGCGGTCAGGGCTCCACGGAGGGCCGCCCCGTGTGGCGGGAAGGTGGGCGTGTGAGTTTGTGTGGGGGTGAGCGCGCGTGTGGTGACGTGTGCGGACGCGTGTGGGTGTGCGGGCACGTGTGGGCATGCCGTGACGTGCGTGGTGACGTGTGCAGGGGTGGGTGGGCGGGCGGCAGAGACTGGGGGTGCGTGTGAGCGGTGCGTCCACGTGCAGGTCTGGCCGTGGGGGTGGGCGCCAGGCCCCGTGGCCACACTGGGGCGCAGAGGTGACCGCTGGCGGGTCCCTGGGGGCAGCGACGGGAAGAGGATGAGACGCGGCCTGCGCCGACCCCGGCCTGCCAGCGTGCCAGCGCCGGGCCCCTGGCCGCCGTGCGCAGGCGGCAGGGAGCCCAGGCCCTCCCCTCCCTGCGTTCTCCCGGGCCCGCGCCGCACTTCAGCCGCCGGCTCCCCGACCCGGGGGCCTCTTCGCAGCGGCAGCGTCTGCCCAGGCCCCCGACGCAGCCACAGACGCCCCTCCTTTGGCTGAAGGACGGGGAACACGGGCTTCTTCTGCAGACAGAAGCGCAGGCCCACAGCCCACGGCTGCGGCACGAGACCTCAGGCCCCGACCGGCCGCACAGAGGCCCCACGCCACATCAGGCCACGGCTGCCCACCGGCCGCCCGGGGCCCATGGCCTCCTCCTGCAAGTGGCCCTCACGTCAGAGAGCTGCAGCCGGCCACCCCACCACAGGCCACCTCGTGGTCCCCGACACCTCTGTCCAGGGCCGTCTGAAAGCCCCCGGGACCACGAGAACGGAGCGGCTTCTGAGCGGGTGAAGAACGAGGCCCCGACGAGGAGGGCCCTGGGCTGCAGCCTCCCGCCGTCACTGGCAGAGGAGAGGAGCCCGCGGTCACCACAGTGTCCAGGCCCCACGTCCCAACATCCTGCAGCCCACGAGGGCTGGTCGCCTGCGCCCCCCGCCCCCCCGCCCCGCTCCTCCGCTGCCCAGGACGGGCTGCAGCTTTGTGGCTGAGCCGCCTGCACCAGACACGCAGAGAAAGCGCCGGGCCGGCGGCCTGCGTCCAGTCTGCAGCCGAGGGCCGGGGCAGAGGGGGAGCGCGGGTCGGGGGGCACTTCAGGGAGCGCGCAGGGCGCTCGCCCAGCTCGGCGCCGTGTCTCAGAGGGGCCTGGCCGCCAGCTTGGGGTGAGCGGGGCGGGCGGCTCCTGGCAGAGGAACTCCGGGAGCAGGGACAGCGCAGCCACCGGGCGCCGCAGCTCCAGGGGCACACACGGCGTCCTCGCCCCTCCGAGCACGCAGCGGGCCCATGGGGACAACCGCTTGGTGTCAGACTCGCTCTCCGCGCTTCAGAACAGGCGGGGGAGGTCGTCGTGGGCCTTCTCCTCCAGGCTGCGGCCGGACCCTGTGGGGGTGGCTGCGGGGCCAGGCACCGTCTGGGTGCCCAGGGCCAGTGGGCATGGAACCTGGCCCCCCCCACCCCGGGGCCACTGACCCACAGCTGCCCGCCACAGACATCCGCCACGCCCACCTCTCCGGGCCCAGCCGGGCCACGCGTCCTCTCGCCAGCCGGCCTCTCACTGGAGACGCCCCGGGGTGCTGGGTGCGGCGCCCGGGGCAGCAGCTCTCCACACTCAGCCCCGTGCGGGAAGAGCGTGCGGGTTTCGCTGTGGCAGCCTCGGCCCCGGTGACGGTGACAGGACTGCCGGCCTTCGCTGCCTCCACCCCACCTGGTCCCCTCCTGGCGCCTCACAGTGCGCCGGCGGCAGACTGGGGCGGAAGCAGGGGCCGCAGGGCCAGGAGGGCCGGGCTGGGGAGGGGTCCCTGCTCCACCTCCGCCCCCTGTGGCGCTCGGCAGCCCTCCCCCCACTCCCCCCGTCGGCCCCCAGGACAGCCTGCCCTGCCACCAGCTGTGCACACCCCGGCTGCGGCCTTTCTGCACCACTGCGACCTGCGGGCCCGGGACACGCACACCCAGGGCCCTGCTGCTGGGAGACCCGCCCCACGGGGCCCGCCCGGCCCGCCCTGAGGGACCGGGGGGTGAGGGTCGGGGGGGGCTTGTCCCAACGCCAGAGCTCTGCCCGCAGAGGCGGCCCCTGCCCGGACCCCGTGACTGTCCCCCTGCCCGTCCCCCAGGGTCTCCAAACCGCGGGGCCCCGAGGGGCCCTGCACACGCACGCACACCCCATGCGGGGCACTCGGGCGGAGGAAGACAGGCCCCAGCACGCGCTGCCGGGGGAAGAGGGGCCCGGCCCCGCGTCCCTTGTGGTGGCAGTCCGCACCGCGCTGATCCTGCGCAGTGCGGCCCTCGGCTGGGCGCGTCTGCCCTCAGGCCCAGCGGGCTGCGTCTGTCACCTTTCTGACTCACTCAGCCGGGGCGAGCGTCCGGGCAGGCCCCTGGAGCCCTGTTTGTCCGGGCGGCTTCCCTGCCGCAGCCCCGTCCTACACAGGTGACTGGGGAGCCTAATTGCGTCGGCCGTTAAGAGATAATTAATGGACGTTCCCCTCCCGGCGAGGTCAAGCCGCCCGATCCCCCCGGCAGCCCAGCCCCCCTCCGCAGCGTCCCCTCCACGGGGCGGCACGGCGACCTCTCTCTCGCGGACGGGCCCCAGCTGCCGCCGCTACAGCCGACGTCTCCGCGCACCGGAGCCGGGCCTCCGCTCGTGGGCCCGGGCTCCAGGCCGTCCTGGCCGGGAGTGCCCCCGGAGACATGCAGGGGCCCCCGCAGGCCGGGCAGGACCCTCCGTCCCAGTGGCCGCCGGCCACCCAGGGGGGTGCGGAGCCAGGGCAGGCCTGCGGCTCGGCCCCGTGGTCAGGCGGGGTCTCAGGCGGGTCTGACTTCCTCTGAGCGCGACCTGCCAGCGGACCTCCGCCTGCCTTCCCGTGGGGCAGCCCCCCGGGGTCCGCGTGTGCTGCCAGGCAGGCAGAGCGGGGGTGGGGGCAAGCATGGGGACCCCGGGGTGTGACTGGAGGGGGTGCCCAGGGTGCAGGAGAGAGGGGGCGACGTGAGCCCCACCCTGGGGCGTGGGAGGTGGAGGCAGGGCCCAGGTGGTGGCCCGGACCCCACGGTGGGGCAGTGGGGAGACCGGGACCAGGGGCCAGGATGCGGGGTGTCGCCACGTTCCCGGCCGAGGCACCAGGAAGGAGGTGCTCTCTCGCCAAGGGGGAGCCGGAGCGGCAGCAGAGGCGGGAGTCCGGCCGGGGCACAGTGGCAGCGTCGGGAGGGGGCAGACGGAAAGGTCGCCGCAGCCGGCGAGCCAGGGGGCAAGCGGGGCTCAGGGGGCTGACGCCAAGGGCAAGGGGGACACCAGGCCCCGGACGGGGCACACGTGACCCTCAGCGAACGCAGAGAAGCCGAGGCCCACCGTCCCCGTACCCCCCCCCCCGGGGCAGACAGTGCACAGCCCAGAACGGGCGTTCCCCTACTAGAGGCCCCGCCGTCGCCCCCCAAGGGCTGTCACTTCCCCTGGGGGACTGCAGGCTGCACACGGCCCCTCGGCCGTCACTCCGCCCACCCCCACCGTGCTCCCCGCCACCGTCCGCACTGGAGCCAACGCCACCCCGCAGAGGGACTGGCTGGACCGACGGGGCCAGCAGGGAGGGCCTCAGAGCGGGAGGGTCAGCGTGCGTGGCCCCAGGTGGCCGGAGCCTGGCCTGCTGGCCGTGCCCTGGGGGCAGAGAGGGGTGGGCCTGGCTTCCCGAGAGGCCGCCGGGCGAGGGAGGCCCCAGGAGCCCCACCGAGGGCAGCGGGTGCTCGGGAGGAGGTGCTGGGGCCGCGGGGCGGCGGGGGAGGGCGCTCTGACGACGGAACGGGGCTGTCACCAAGGGGGCCGTGGCCCCTCGTGGTCTCTGTGCCCCACTCACCGTGGACGTGGCCTGAGCCCCCACAGCACGTGGACGGCCAGTGGACGCATCCTTCTTGTCCACTGAGCTCGGGGCCCCTGACCCAGGGCCTGTCCGGGGGGCTGTGTGGTGGTCGGGGACCCCCTCAGCCCTGAAGCACCCCCGCCAGGCCCCGAATCGAATGTGGGCCGTGGTGAGGAGGCCCCAAACTATGCCTGTGGGGGTCCTACCTGTGCACACTGGGGACACCGGGGTCACCAGGACCCCGTGCGGCCTCGGCTCGCCCCGCCCCCCAGCCACTGGCCTCACCCTTGCTCTCGGGGCAGGAGGGACAGGGTGCCCGGCCCCGTGGCCGTCCTGCCCCAGCCCTGCGGCCCCCCTGGACACCTCTCTCGGGTCTGTGCTTCATGATGCCGGAAGGGCCTTTGGTCCATTTCTCTGGGGAAACCTCTCTCTCCTCAGCAGGCGGACGCAGTGCCCGCTGCCCGGAGGACTGCCGGCGGGTGCAGCGCGGCCGCGCCGAGTTCCTGGACATCCGCCTCGGGCCCCCCCCGCCCGGGTACCACCCCGTCCCGTTCCTGGACGGCCTGCGTGAGGTAGGGGTGGGGGGACCCCCCAGGACTGAGTCCACCCACTGCCCAACCCCGCAACCAGCATGTCGGGGTGCACGGAGGGGAGCGACCAGGGCCCCCCCTGAGTGCCTCCCCGCCGCTCCGTGCAGAAGGCGAGCAGCGGGCCCGGGGGCGGCCTGGGCCCCGGGACGGGGACGCCCACCGTGCAGGACCCACCCGGAGGCAGCAGGTAGGAGAGGCCGCCCCACTCACGGGCGTTTGGGGGGTGGTCTGCCCCCCCTGCCCTTGGGCCACAGCTGTGCCCCTTCTCTGCACGTCTGCCTCGGTTTCCCCCAGCCTTGCACACCACAGACACTGCGGGCCACCGTCGGCTCAGCAGTGGCAAAGGTTTCCGTGGCCTAGAGAGTAGGGACTCTGGGCTTCCCGTGTGGGGGCCCACGGCCGGGTCTAGCACCAAGGGGACTCGCCGGGCAGCAGGGGCAGCGCAAGGTGGCCCCAGCGGTGTCCCTGCCGCTGCCAGCCCCCCCGGGGACTTGTTCTGAGAGCCTGAGGCAGGCAGAGCAGAGCGGCCACTTGCCCAAGGGACACGCCGAGGGTGGGCGGGTGGGCGGGCCGGGGGTACTGAGGGAGGCGCCGCTCCTTAGTGCCGGGGGCCACACCAGCCCGTCCCTCGGGGGAGGAGACTGAGGCTTGTCCAGAGCCCGTTTGGATTTCCGCCGGACAAGTGGGAGGGGCGGGCGGCGGCCTGTGGGGAGGTGCGGCCCCACACCTCCGTGCCTGTGGCCTCTCCCAGTGACGCCCTTTCCAGCCCAAGGGGGCCACGTCGCTGGGAAGCCTCTCCTGGCCTCTGCTTTCAGGGGCAGCGAGCGCGTCCCCTGCCGACACACGCGGGCCGTGGACACTCTGGTGGGACTGGACCTGGCCTCCCCCAAACCCGGCAGCTGTAGGGAGCACGGTGCAGCACTGGGGAGCAGCCAGCACGGTGCGGCACCCGCCGCCGCCGGCCGGGGGGCAGGTGGGCTGGGACCTGGAGGCAGAGGTCCTGCAAACGCAGGCCCCAGGCCCCAACGGAAACCACCGCCCTTGACAGACACACGGCCTCCGGGGGGCCGGGGGCGGGGCGCAGAAGAGCCCCAGGGGCTGGGGGGACGGCAGGGATCCGACCCTGCGTGGGGCTCGCCGGCCGCCCGGAGCCGGGGCTGGCTCTCCAGGGAGCCTCGCGCTGCCGGAGACCGCGCGCCCTTCTTGACGCTGCGGGCCGGGGGCGTTGAGTGGCCCCAGAAAGGCGCGAGGCCTCAGGCACGGCCCCAGCTCACACACTCAGGGAAATAAGAGATCCGGCGGAGGGGTGGAGCGGCCGCAGGTCCACCTGCAAGGAGAGGACGCGTGGGTGCCGCCAGGGACGGGGGACAAGCCGGGAACACTCGCGGCTGGCGCGGCATAGCGAGCCAAGGACCCCCGGATCCCCGGATCCCGCGCGGAGCTGCCCGTCTGCGCCTGCGCCTCGGTGTGGCCGGACCGCAGTGCGCGCCTGCGCAGGAGCTGCGGAAGCGCGGACCTGCAGGAACGCCAACACGTGCTCAGGGTCCCGGCCCGGACCTGCGGAGCGCCGACAGCTGACACCCTAGAGTCTCGGGAGCCAAACCTGAGGCGGTCACCGTGGCAACTCGGACGCCAGGAACTCGAGGTGGAAAGTCTCATTTCAGGAAAAACAAGGCCTTGCGCCGCCGGCCTGCAGGCAGTGGCGGGAGCGCGCAGCTCGGCCCCGGCCCTCCGGCGCCGCCGAGGGCTCCGGTGTCCCCGTGTCCGAGACGGCGTTGTGATCCGCAGCCGCAGCAGCCTGGTGTTTGGGTGGGCCCGGCCCGCACCCAGGGAAGAGCGGTGGGGAGGGGGCCTGCTGGAGCCCCCACGCCTCCCACCAGCCCCGCCGTGCCACCACCCCGCCGGCGAGCTCCCTCCAGCTTGGGCGCCGGCTCCCCGCAGCCTCCAAACCTGGCTCCTGACCCAGAAAGCCCACCTTGTGGAACCGTAGGGAAACCGGCCGCCGGCCCGGCTCCTGGAACAGGACGCGCGCGGGTGCGCAGATCGCCGTCTCCCTCGCGTTCAGAACCCTGCGCTGCGCAGCGCAGCGCGGCCCTTGGTTCCTGGCTGCAGGGCTGTGGGCCCCAGGGGCAGGACATTCCCCAGGACTCGGCCACAGGGCTGGGGACGGGGTGGGGAGGCCCCTGATAAGCAGCTGCCGCACGTGGGGCGGAGGAGGGGTGCGCGGGCTCCTGCCAACGCCTGACCTTGGCGCTTTCTGGCCCCCTGTTCTTGTCGCCCCTCCCCCTCAGCACCCACCACCCGCTGCCCTCCCTGAGGACCTGCTGTGACCCCGAGTTCTCAGCTTCCTGGGGGCCACTACTGCAGACCCCTCTTTCAGACCTGGCCACCAAGACAGGATGCTAGACCCCTTTGGGTCTCTCCTGACCACACCCCACCCCACCAGGCTGCCTAGTGCCAGTGCAGGGGCCACAGGGGCCAGGGGCCAGGTCCCAGAACAGCCAGGCCGGCTGCCCTCGAGCCTGCATCCCAAACCACAACTGTGCCTTCGTGGGCTGCTGGACAACCTCCCTGCCCTGGCCCGGAGGGGGTGGCCGCCAAGCCATGGCTGCAGGGGCTCGCCCTCCGGGGCCATCCCGGGTTGCCTGCACCCCGATGCCCGGCCAGCCCGCCCTGCGGACCTGCCTCCCCGGGAACGTCAGCTCCCGCGGCGGCCTCGCGCATTCCTGCGGAGACATTCCTGGCACGCGACGGAACGCCACACCGCGACACAGAGCCCGTCAGTTCCCGAGTGGGGTGACGTGGTGTCGGCTGCAAAACCCGGACTCGGTTCCTAAACGTGGCCGGGAGTCGGCCGCCCCCCCCCGACCAGGGACCGGACGGGAGGGGGCGTGCGGCCCCACCCACCTCCCCCGAAACCCTAAACCGCGCTTTGGGCCGGAGCGGTGCCAGCGCCTGCGGCCCTGCCGAGCCCCCCACCAGCTGGCGGGTGGGGAGTCCGCGGCGCGACCTTGCCCGTGATTGCTCCTTGACGGCTGGGCAAAGAGGCCAGGGCCCTCCCCCAGCCCGCTCAGAGAAAAATGGGTTTAATTAAGACTTCCGTGATTAGTCATTTAATCAGTCATTAGGCCAACACAGATGGAGCCAATTAATTTTTTTACTTGAATACGTAGCTAGTCCTCGCAGCCCCCTCCACCCGGGCTGTGGGTGACCCCTGAGCATCGAGTCCACCGCAGGCCTCCGTCCCCTCCAGAGGCGGCCCCTCCCAGCGGCCGGGCCATGCCCCAGGCCCCTCGCCCGCCCCAGCCCCGCCGCAGGCCGCCCCGCCGCCCCCTCGTCTGATGAGCGCAGAGCAGCCCCGAGGGGACTCGGACAAGCTCTGAGCAGGAACCACAGCCCAGGGGCTGCCCGCCTCGTCCGGGACCCCCAGGCCTCCGACTGTAGCCCAGCCACCTCCGAGGACAGGTCCTGGATGTCCTGTCCCCGCCACCCTGAGTCCCGCACCAGGCCCAGCCCAAGTTTACCCCAAGAAGTCCCGTGTGGGGTCCAGGGTGAAGTCCGAGTCCCCCCCCACCCCCATCTGCAGCTCGCTGGTGCCCGCCTGGGCCCTGCACAGCGCCCCCGGCGTCTGGCACGTGCTGGCCCCTCAGCTGGGAGGGCCGGCTGCCCCCATCACGGGGGTGTGCCCGGGGCGCCACCTGGCCGTGGGCGGCCCTGTGCCCGGGCAGTGGCCTGGCAGGTTGTGGGTCTGTCTCAGCAGGTGAGGCTCCTGGGGCGGCCGCAGCCCTCCCTTGGCCCCACAAATGGGGCCCGTGCCCAGGTCAGGTCTCAGGTGCCCACGCCCCATGCTGTGCCTGTGCGCCCATTTCACAGGCTAGGAAAACAGCGACAAGGGCCTCCTCTGACCCCAAGGCCACCAAGCCCACAGCCCCAAGGGTCGCAGTGGGCCTTGCAGGGGTCAGGCTCCGGTCACTAGGGAACGGTCACTCCAGAGCAGGAACCCTCCCTCCCTCCGCCGGACGTGCACTTGACCGAGGCACCAGTGCCGGCTCCCGGTGCCTCACCGGGCCCAGCAGCCGCAGCAAAGGCACGGGTGTGCACGGGGCGCCGGGCTCCTCTCCGCCTGTGGCCACTCCCCAGACCTGCCCTCTGGCCCCCCTGACCCAGGCCACCCGCCGTGGAGCTTGGCTGCCATGGCTGTCACCTTGGCGACGGCTCTGTGTGGCCTGGTGTGTTCACGGAGACCCCAGAGGGGGAGGCCCAGGGCACGTTTGGGGGCTTCTCAGGGCGGCCCTGCCACGCACCTGCCCCAGGAGAGGTGGCGTCAGGGGGGCCATCCACGGTGCACAGCCCCCACGGGTGCTCCCGGGCCCAGGAAAGGGGTGGGTGTGCAGCCATGGGGACACCGAGGCCACTGTGCTGACAAGCAGCCAACTGGGCTGGGGGGTCACTTGGGGAGCTGAGCACCTAGTGGGAACCAGTGGGGTCACCCTTGCAGGGGGCTGTCACAACCCCCCCCCCCACTTGAGAGCGTCTGCTCCTCCCAGCCTCAGCTCGGCCGCGTGCCCGTTAGGGCAGGCAGATGGCTCAGCCCAGCGGGACTCGTGGGGACCTGGGATGGGCCCACCACGGGAGCGGAGGGGTCCATGCAGGGCACAGCCCATCTCGGGGCCTGGAGGGCGGCCCCGGGCCGCAGGCTCAGGGCGGGCACGGCAGGGGCGAGAGGCCGCCCCTCGGGGACGGATTGCCGACGGGAGCTGGCGCTGTCCGGGCGCCTCGTCTCGGTGTCTCGGCTCGCTCTGTCGGATGGTGTGCCAGGGGCTGGGTTTGCTCTTCCTGGAAGGACTCGGGGGAGCCTGGATGCAGGGGACGAGGGGCAGGAGCCCCGAGAGGCAGCGACAGGCGTCACGAGCCCAGCAACCTGGCTCGCCGCCTCTGAGCTGTGGCGCAGGGAGGGCACCCGGGTGGGCTCAGGGCGCCCGGGCAGAGACAGAGTCGGGAGTCCCGGGGCCCGAGGTGGGTCGAGGTCTCAGGGGTCTGCGGAGAGCGTGGACCAGTGCGTGCGTGTGCACCCGTGAGAAGGAGCCGCGGGGCCGGCCAACAGCAGCCGAGTGCAGGGCTCCCGCGGGCAGCAGAAAGGGCCCCTTTCAGCGGCCTGGCTGGTGGCTCTCACAGGCGTGGCCTCCGTCGGGGGCCATGCCTGCCCCTCTGGGACCCACCCAGCACAGCTGGATGGCCAGGCCCGAGGGGACCACACCGTTTCCAAGCAACGGCACCGAGACCCGAGAAGACGAACGTGCCCCCGCAGGGGGGAGCCGCAGCACCTGGCGCCTGGTCGCCGGGCACACATGATGTCAGAAGGTCCTACCCGCAACGAGAAACACGATCCCTCAAACCCGACGCGGGGACCGCGCAGCCGGAAGGACGAACTCACGAGGGTCCCGCGTGGCGAGGGGAGGCGGGGAAGGAGTCGGACGGGGCCCCGGGGCGGTTGCACCGGACAGCTGTCGCGGAAGGTCAGCGGCAGAGCAGCCGTGCGGGGCGGGCGCGGGGGCACAGGACCGTGGGGACAACGCTGGCCCCTGGGGGGCAGCGTCTCGGGCCGCCAAGCGCACGGACACGGGATGCTCCCAAGTGGTGGTGGGGGGGGAGACACGGCATGGCAGCGTTTTCGATCTCGACGACAACCCTTTACCTACGGCACGAGAACTCGGGGACAGCAGGCCCCGGCGGTCCAGGGCAGACCTGGGAGGTGGAAACGCCGGGCGGGGGGGCGGAGCCCCGGCCCGCAGGCCCCGCCCCGCCCGCACGTCAGGGTCCCAGCCAGAGGCCCTGCAGCCTCTGGACTCCCGGAGGCTCAGCCGCTGCACACGGCCGGTGCCCGATCGGTGCTTCAGGGGTCACGCCGCCGCCCGGGACTCCGGCAGGCCCTCGGCGCTGTGTCTCCGGGGGACACGTCCCAGATCTCTAGGGGCGCCGGGTCCAACCCGTGGGTCTGGGGGCCCGGCAGCCGGCCGGCGCCTCCGGGCGGCTCCCTCTCGGGGTCCCCAGCCCCCGCCGGCTCGGCCCGCTTTGCGCAGCCCTGGGGGTTCTGTAAAAGCGCTCCGGCTCCTCGTAACCCCGTTCACGTCTCCGAAAGCCGGCAGCCCGGCCGACGCTGGTTATTCTTAGCGCGGAGTTATTTACCCGCCCCCCCACCCCAGCCCTCCGCCCGCACCTCAGAACCCCTGACGTGGCTCTGGGGGCCAGCCAAGGCCCATCCCCCCTCTCGAAATGGAGTCATTTTAAAGCCTTTTGTCTTTAAATTTTTATCACCCGCACCACGCACGTGGTGCTGACTTGGCGAGGGGCCGGAACCTGGCGGGTCTCCGAGCCCCAGCCAGGGAGCCGCACTCCCCCGCCCTCCGGTCTCGGGGAACACTCCGCCCGGGGGGCGGGGGTCTTCCTGGCCCCCCAGTCCCTTTGGCTGGACCCTTCCGGGCACAGCCCGGCCCGTCGCACCCGGGGCCTCTGTGCCGCCCAGACCAGAGCTGGAGGACCTGGCGTCCAGGCCACATAGCCCCCTGTCCCTGAGGGACACGTGTGGGAGGCCGCCAGCTGGACCCCGGAGCTCGGCAGAGGCGCTGGGTCAGGGGCCCTCCCCGGGGCACTGGGTCAGGTCCTCCGGGACGTGAGACCCTCCCTGGGGCAGGCGGGTGGGCCAGTCACTCACTCTGGAGTGGGGCCCCCTAAGACCCTCGGTCGAGACAGAATTGCTGAGATGGGTCACTCCCCCCTCCCCCCACCCGTCCGAGAGCCTGGGCAGCTCTGGCCAGAAGGGCAGGTCCCCATCCCCCGGACACGGGGCCTGGCCCCAGGGACCCCGGCCACCTGGTCTTGCCCTCCACCGGCTGCCTCTTCTCTCCCGCCTCTCGGGGTGAAACACGCTTTAGCCCCTAGGAGGGGGCGCAGTGCCCTGCGACCCCAGCCCCCAGCTGAGCCCCAGGCCCCGCCTGCCTCTTGTCCTTTCTCACTGGCTCGTCCACGTCCCTCCCGGCGGGCCCCGGGCCGCCGCTGATGTTCTCCGGGCGGCCCTGCCGCCGCTGGCCGGGCCGGGCACCTGGACCCCGCTCAAGGGAGCGGCGGGTGGCGGTCAGCTGCGTTCGGTCTCCGCTTGGTGTGGACAGGGAGACACCGGGGCCGGGGCAGAGCTGGGTCACCGCCTGTGACCTTCCCCGCCAGGTGCAGGCGGAGTGGCCGGCGGGGTGGCACACACTGCCCCCCACGCTGAGGCGGGGCCTCCAAGGTCAGGACAGCCGAGCCTGTGGCCCCTGGGGTGGCCCCTTGCGGGGGGGCGGGGAGGCGGGGGCGCGCACACCTGGCTCCCTGGGCGGCCCCCTCAGGTGTGTCCTCCTCTCCTCCCCGCAGGCCGGACGGGGCGGCCGGGGCAGCGCCGGGGACAGCGCCGGGGACAGCGGCCTTCCCAGGTAGGCGGGCAGCGGGAGGACGCCACCCCGTGAGCCCTCTCCAGGGGTCAGGTCCGGACAGGTCATCTCCGTCTCCCCTGGAGGGGCGCTGGCTCCCTCCCTCTGAGCAGGTGGACCCGAGCTCGGGCAGGTGCCCGGCCCCCACGCAAGCTCTCCAGACGCCCCCGGAGGCCAGCCCGCGGGGCCCTGGGCAGGGAGGGGACGCGGACTGTCCCAGGGTCCGCCCCGAGGCCGGGCCCCTCACAAAGGCCGCGGGAGCCGGCCAGCCCTGGGAGCCTCTCCGGCGCCTCAGCCCGGTGAACGCCACGGCCTCCTGTCCCCATGGCACCCCCCTCGCCCCCAGCAGCGAAGCCCTGAAAGGCCCCTCTGTGGGGAGGGCTGGGGGCTGGGCAGCGCCCCACCTGCCCTTTGGGCTGAGGCGGCCTGTCCGCCCCCCCAAGCAGCCACACACGTCCACTGGCCGGCCCGCAGGGCAGACATGGGGGTCACCGGCTTCGGGACTGAAGTGGAAGTGGTGTGGGTGGGTGGCGGGGCCGGCGGAGGTCACCTGGACCTCTCGGGGCCCCGAGGAGAAGCCGTTTCCAGGCTGTTAGGGGCAAAGCCAGTGGGTAGCCTGGCCCCCGAGGTGTGGGCCGGGCTCTGTGGGGACGCCGGGGGCCAGGCCCGGGACAGGAGCACGTGGCGGTCGGGGCTGGGCCTCGGGTGTTTCTGAGGCCACCAAGGTGGCCCCCACGGGCTCCGTCCCATCCGGCCGGAGGCCTCAGGACGAGGTCACTCGAGGGCTGGGGCCGGTCCTGGGGCCGCTGCCGCCGAGCCCTCACGGCTCCCGCGGTGCCCTTGGCCGCGGTCGGGGCGGCCGCGTTCCCGGGAACACCTAGAGACCGGCTGCTTGGGAACACAGGCGTTGCCATGTGCGGCTGCTCCTCCCGCGGCCAGGGAGGCCCGGTGCCCCGGCTGCGGAATGCGGCCCCTCCCAGGCGCCCGGCCCAGCCCCCAACCGCGGTTTTCCGAAGGGGCTGACTCGGGCCCCGCGCCCCCTGCCGGCGGGCCCCCTCCAGTGCGGCCCCCCCTCGGGGTTCAGTGCCACGGCCCCCGGGCCGGAGCGGGGGTCGCCGCCCCGCCTGTCTTCCAGCCCCGGCGCTGGGACGTCCCCGGGCGCAGCCGGCTCCCGCGCCCCGGTTCAGCTGCGGCTACATTCCGGGTGTGAGCCCGGGCCAGCCCGCGAGCTTTTTCCACGCTCCGGTGCCAGCCCCAGCGGCTCGGGGGAGGGAGAGGGCGGTTTCCATGGCAACCCCACTTTCTGTTATTTCTTATTTTCCTTTTTACGGTCGCTCCCCCTTCGAAGCTCTCCAGACAGTTTACAGGCGGCACAGAGGAGGGGTGCTTTCCCTCCCCCGCGGGGTCCCCAGCAGAGCAGCCCCCCCCGGCCCCCGGCCCCCCCCCCCCGGGCCCGCCCCTGCAGTCGCGGAGCACGCGGGGGCTTCAGAGCAGACAAGCAGGGCCCCAGCGTCTTAATGCTTCGAAAAAACACGTTAGAGGAAATGAGTTATTTTTCTCCTGAAAGACGGGAAAGTCTTTTCAGAATGATCCCGGCACCCAGCCCCACGGCCCCCCAGCGGGAAGGGGGCCTTGCACGTGCCCCGCCCACCTCACCCAGCTGCCCCCCCCACCCCACCCCACCCCCCACCCCCCCCCCCCCACCCCCCACTCTGTCCCCACAGCCGGGGCTGTGCCCTGAGGGCGGAGCTGGCTGGCTGTGCCCCAGGCCGCTGGGCAGAGAGGGCCGCCAGGCCGGGGGCAGGGCGGGGAGGACCTGAGGGTGTCCCGTGGCGGGTGGGCGGCAGCCCGGCAGGCAGAGCCCCCCCCCCCGCCCGACCGGTGTGAGCGCGGGCCCTCCCCCGCAGGAGAGTACGTCATCATGGTCCGGGACGTGACCGCCCCACCGTTCCTGGGCCGCTCGCTGCCCACCGCCTTCCAGCACCTTCGGGTCTCTGCCACGGGTCCTGGCCCGCAGCCCCCCGCCCCCGGAGAAGGCCCCACAGCCCAGGACTAGGAGGGCCACCAGCCCCGGGGACGGCGTCCCTGCAGGAGACCCCCGTTCTCGGAAGGACCGAGGCTGCCTCCGCCTCACCAGGCGCCGCCCCCTCCCGCCGCCCTCCGCGGTGGGTCAGATCGGGGCCGAGGAGCCCCCCCGCGCACCCCGGGGCCGCTGGCTCTAATAAAGTGCTGGACGCTGGCTGCTGAGTGGCGTGGCCCCTCCTCACACCCTGGACACGTGCGGCTCCCGGGGCATCCCGGTTCCCGCCGCGGGGGTCGCCGGTCCCCCCTGTGGGCCGGCACTTCTGTTCGCCCCGACTCTCCCCAGTCCTGCGGTGAAGCCGTGCGCCTGCGCCCTCGGACTCCGCCCCATGACCCCTGCCCTGGCGGGGGCGGCGGGGAGCCCTGTGGGCGCCTGGGGAGTCGGAACCCGCTCCCAGGCGAGAGATCGAGGCGCTGAGCGGGCGACTGGTTTTCTGGGAACCGGCTGCCCATCTGCAGGGGCCACTTCTCCACTTTTCGGGCCTCAGCGGCCGAAATGCACCCCGGTGTGTGGGCAGGGCTCCCCGGAGGGCTGGCGGGGGGCCGGCCGCCCCCTGCCCTGAAGGCCCTGCCCTCCCATCCTCTCTGCTGATCACCTGCTCTGGCCTTCCCAGAGAAACACAAGGGGAGACAGACCGCCCCGAGCCAGCCCCCCAGGTCATCAGCACAGTCCAGGCCCATCTCCCCAACAACGCCCCCCCACCATGTGGCTGCAGAGGCCGCAGGCCGCCATGGTGCTGCCCTGCCCTCCCCAGCTGCCCAGCGTGGGGCAGCCTGTCTCCTGGTCCTCTCTGCGGCCTGGGCCCCTCCCCAGCTCCAGACCTGGACAGCCAGCTACGAGACGCCTGGTCCGGCAACACCCGATGGCCTCCCTGCGGCATCAAGGGCAGGTCAGACCAAGCACGTCCCCAGCAGCGTTCCTGCTGGCCCCGCAGACTGGCCCAGGCCCCCACGGCGGCACCTGTGGGCCTTCTCCCCCGCTCCATGGCCGGCAAGTCCGGCCCCGTCTCCCCAGCCCAGACCTGGCTGGCCCCGGCCCCACAGGTGCCGCCAGGCCGCACCCCAGTCACGCCCAGCACCGCAGGCCCCCATAGCTGCAGCCCCGTGTCCAGCGCTGGTTCTCTCCGGCTGGCCACGCCGCCCCTGCATGCCTGCTCATGCCCAAGTGCCCGCCCGCATCTCCTGGGGGTCTCCTCGGGAGGCCTCCTCGGCCGCCTCTTCACCCACCCCTGAGACGACACCCCCTACGCACCCTGGGGTCCCCTTCCCTCCTTCACCGCACGGTGGGCCAGCACGCCACGCACTTCACTTGCGCGTGGTTTGTCGCCTCCTGGAGGGAGGAGTTTGGGCAGCTTTGCTCTCCAGCGCGGCCTCGGCACCCAGTGCGGCCTGCCGGAGAGCCCGAGGCACCCCGTGCCGGGGCCGCGTGGTCTGCAGCACCTGACCTTGCCGTACAGAGCAGGAGGTGCTGGGGACGACCAGGAGAGGAGTGGAGGCAGGCAGGACTGACGGACGAGGAGACAGAGGTGGGGCAGAGGGACAGGTGAGCAGATGGAGGGGGAGAGGGCGGGGGTGGGGGGATGGAGGCGTGGACTAACGGAAGGGTGGACAGGCCGATGGTCACGAGACCGGGTGGTGGGTGACGGGTGTGAGTATGGGTGGGGTGGAGGTTCATCTGTCCCCAGAGGACAGGTGCCCCCGGAACAGCTGCTCCGACTTGGAGGGTGGTGCTAAGGAGGTGCTGTGACTCCGGGCCCGAGGCGTGGGGTGGCCCCGGGGCCCCGCCTCTGCCAGCCTCCGTGCGGCTGCAGGAGCTCCAGCGGCCACAGAAGCTGCCAGCGGGGCTTTGGGCTCCAGCGGCCCTTGAGGAGGGGCCAGGGGCTGCGTCCCAGCCTGAGGCAGGGGCGCCGACTCCGGGGGCCCTGCGTGCACTGGGGCGTCTGACCCGCCCGAGGCTGGCGGGGGCCGAGGGGCCTGCGGGACGGGCCGCCTGCGAGGGGGTGGGGAGGGGCGGCGGCAGGGTCCCGGCCGAGCCGAGGGCAGAAGCCCCGGTGGACGGGCCACACGCTCCTCGAACGCCCGCTGCCCGCGGCCGCCCCGAGACGCAGCCCGCCGGCTGCAGCCTCGTTCCCCCTCCAGACGCAGCCCCCTTCCCGCCCAGAGAAGAACGGTGGAAACCACGTTTCCCTCGCGGGAGAGCGGAGCCGGAACAGAAGCAGCTGCCGCGTCTCCCGGCGTCAGGAGGGTCCTGGCGTCTGATCCTGAAGCACAAAACCCAGCGCAGGAAGCCCCATGGTGGGCCCGCGCCACCACGGCTCAGGGCGGGGGTCCACCCCCCCGGGCGCGGGGGGGCTCGGAGCGGAGTGCGCCCCTCTTCTCAGCCGCAGACCCTCTGCAGCCGCGTGGGGGACCCCCGTCTCCAGCACCGGTCCAGGGCCTCCTGGTGTGGGGACCCAAGGAGACGCCAAGACGGTTCCCTGCAGCCGCCCTGGGGCGGGGCAGAGGCTGCTCAGACCCCAGGGGGCTGCGTTTGGGCAGGACCGGGTCCCCACGTGCCGCCCAGCCTCCGCCAGGCCCCTGAGGGGTGGAGAGACGCCGCGGCTCCCCGGGCCAGTGGCCGCAGCGGGTGGGCAGCCGGCCTTCTGCGGGCCGCAGCCCCGGGACTTGTCTGGACCTCTGCTGCAGGAGCGCTGGACCCAGAACCCCCCCGCCACTGGACCCCCACTCTGCACCCTGTGTCCCACAAGCAAATCCGTTCACAGACTTTTTGGATAACTTTCCTGAGAGTTCATCTGAGCCAAACTAACACCACACACTAGGAAGCAAGATCTCAGGTGCTCCCCCATAAACATTTGAATTCTCAGAATAAAGAGGATCGGCAGGGGTCTGAGAGGCCACGGCCGCTGGCCTGGCCCTCCGTCCTCCTGGCATCGTCCAGCCACGAGGGGCCAGGGCAGCGATGGCCACGGGCCAGGCCCTGGCCCCACCGGCCCACGGCGCTCCCCAGCCTGGCCCCAGGCTCTCTGCAGGACCATGTGGTCCCCCAGCCTGGCCTCCAGGTCCACTGGCGCCCAGAGGCAGTAGGGCCCGGCCCCCGGCCAGCGGCTGCCCCTGAGGCCCCGGGAGGCTCAGAGCGCGGGTCCAGCCCTCCAGTCCCGCCAGCCCCTGGGGTCCAACGGTGAGGCTCAGTGGCCGATCACAGGGGACCCTTCACGGGTGAGGGGCAGCACAGAGCCCGGGCCGGGGGCCAGACAGACAGGCAGAGGCCTGTTGTGGCCCCTGCCCACCTGTCCCCGTCTGGTGGGTGGGGCCCCATGGTGGGGAGGGGGACGACCTTGGCTTGGGCCCCGAGCCCGAGGGTGGGCCGGGTGGCTCGGGGCCAGCCCTGCTCCCAGGCTGGGCGGGGGCTCCGGCAGGCCTGCCCCACGCGAGCTGTGTCCACCTGGGGCCTGCAGACGGGAGGCGGGCTTCCCGGGGTCTCCGGGGAACCAGAAGGGCAGGTGGGTCCTGAGGCCCCGAAGCCACCCTCCCCCCTGCTGCAGTGGGGCCAGTGGGCAGCGGCCGGTAGAGGGGGGCAACATCAGGCGCTCCCCCAAACCTTTACACCACAGGAAGCTACAGCGCCCTCAGGAGGCTCCGGAGGCGCGCCAGGTCGAGGCCGCGGTTCAAACCAGCCACAGCCTTCCCCCGGGCCTCAGGCTCCCTGCGCGCCTCTGACCTCCGAAGGGGCCTCGGGCCCCGGTGGCCCCGGGGACAGTCCACTCTGGGGGTCCCTGCTGAGCCCTCTCCACACATGGAGTCCCTGGCAGGCGCTGCCTTGTTGAGAGACACCCCGATCCCTCACTCGGAGTCCCCCTGCCAGACAAACACGGACACACGGACACACAAGACAGACACGGACACAGACACACACAAGACAGACACGGACACAGAGACACACAAGACAGACACGGACACAGAGACACACACAAGACAGACACGGACACAGACACACGAGACAGACACGGACACACGGACACACGAGACAGACACGGACACACGGACACACGAGACAGACATGGACACAGAGACACATGAGACAGACACGGACACAGAGACACACACGAGACAGACACGGACACAGAGACACACGAGACACACACTGACACAGACACACAAGACAGACACGGACACAGACACACACGAGACAGACACGGACACAGACACACACGAGACAGACACGGACACACGGACACACGAGACAGACACGGACACAGACACACAAGACAGACACGGACACAGACACACACGAGACAGACATGGACACAGACACACAGAGCCAGCAAGGGGGGCCCACTTGCCCTCCGCCCGGCCCACCTCCCCGCAGGGCTGGGGCCTCGGGGAGCATGGCCTCCCAGCCTGCCCAGCGGCCGCCCCGTGGTCAGCAGCACACAGAGCCCTGCCTGTCTGGGCCGCCTCCCACCCGCCCGCCTGGCACAGGCGGCCCCTCCGGCCTCCTCTCCCGCTGGCAGGCGGGTCACCCGGGACGTGCCCCCCCGGGGGGCCTCCTCCCCACAGCCCGGGCAGGCCGCCTGACCTCGGTGCCAGGCGGCTGGGCAGGCCAGCTGCGAGGAGCAGCCCCCGGGCAGGGCTTCCTGGAGGCCATCCCACTGCCCAGCCCGCCAGACCGGTTCCTGTCGGCCTGGCCCAACAGCTCACTGCCCGCCGCACCCGGGGTGCCCTCGGTCCTGGGGGTGTCGGGAGGGTGACCGGGCCTGTCCCGTCCAGCAAGACCCCTGCAGGGCCGACAGCTCTCAGCACGGGGACAGACAGACACAGCGGCCGGGGCTCCCCCTTCCTGCCCCCGTCTCCTCTCTGACGGAAGAGACCCAGCCTGGGCACGCGCAGGGGACCTTGGGAGCTGCGGGGGGTGGCAAGCAGGTGGGGAGGGGCTGCCCTGGACCCCTTGCCCATCGGCCCTGAGTAACCCAGGGG